TATCAATGTGTTATACATATATATATATGTATAAACACATTGATGTTATTTTAACATCGTTTGCATACACTTTGAGAAGGAAACGGACTCGTTTTTTAGCTTATGATCCACCTATGTACTTCGTAATACTTTAATTTCAAAGAAATATATCTAAATGGCGACAGTGGCTATGGGTAAACCACTAATGTATGCGGCTCTCGCATAAAAATGTGAAAGCTTAACACAGAACAGCTGCTTTGTTCAAGAAAATAGAGTCGGGTTACACTCTAACGGACCACACTAGCGCCAAAAATCACCGTTCGAAGATAACCCATATATCCCGTCATTGGAGGTATGCCACGTTGAAGTATAGATCTGTGTAGAAAATTCACAACCAAACAATTATTATCATTATATATATAGTGATAAGTTTGGGACTGCACCTAATACAGTCTAAAAATATTATCCTACTCTAAAGGACTCCAGGTACTCCTAGGAAAATGATTTTTCTAATCAAGATTCCAATCGATATTTATGATTCTGCTTTAGCCATAATACCTATCCCAAAACTACTACTACTTTTAAAATTCAAATTATATATAAAGGATACAAAAAAACTGAGTTAAAAATTAAAAAAATAAAGAAAATAAAATTTAAAACGGTACCGTTGGGTCTTTTAATTACTTCACCTAATACCGTTCTGTACCTGTTCTGTCCCTCAACTACTCTACTAGAGTAGTTGAGGGACAGAACAGGTACAGTTCTGACTTCTAATTACTCTAGAATAGATACCGTTCTACCCCTTGATTACCCTAGAACAGGTACCGTTCTATCCTTTAGTTACCTCGAACATGTACCATTCTATCCCCTCTTAAATTTCTCTAGAAGAGGCACCGTTCTACCTCTGACTAACTCATAGGGCAGGTACCGTTCTATCTCTAATTTAGTCAATAAACAGGTACCGTTATTATCCCTAATTTAGTCGTAAAAAGGTACCGTTATTATCATAAACAGGTACCGTTATTATCCCAATTTAGTTGTAAAAAGGTACCGTTATTATCCCTAATTTATTTAGTAGTTTCAGGTACCATGTCATAAACAGGTACCATTATTAGTAGTCTCAGGTACCATTATTAATAGTTTCCAGAAAATATGGAATTCAGAAAAAGTTTCCAGAAAATATGGAATTCAGAAAAAGTCTCCAGAAAATATGGAATTCAGAAAAAGTTTCCAGAAAATACGAAATTCAATCAGTATTTTTAGATATCTTAAAAAAAGACTACATTTGAGGTCGTTCCACCAGTGGCAATTTACTTGCGACAACTTCCAGCTAGCTAATTATAAGTGAAATGCTACTTATAGCTGAAATCGGACAATATGGAAATCTATAATTATAGACTCATGTTGTTAGAGTATGATTTCACACGCAAACGCCAAACATTTATCTATGTTCAGTTTTTTTCTTAATATAGATTGTCATTATGTACATGGAATGCACGCTACGCTTTCCAATCTCTTTCGCTCGTTCACATATCCATCGATCACTGGGAAAGAAAAGACAGGACAATCTACATTGGCCTTTGACGCTGTTACATTATTAAGGATAGATCCTTTGGCTAGGCCGCTAGTAAAGCCGCGTCTTCTTCAGTTTTTTGTCGCTCATTTGGTATAGAAGTGAAAGAAAGAACTTCTTAAGTTGCCTCCTGGCGTACGGTGGACATGGGGCAGCTAAGCTCAACTTCAGCAGAATGTATTACGTAATCTCAATTCGATTGAGTTCTACTGAGCTTTAACGCTAGCTTCTGTCGACTTCAAATCGGATGAGTTGTCCTGTTCATTTGACCACACACCTTCTTCGGTCGGCTTTGGCTTACCACTTTCGCCTTCGCCACCATCTGAGGACATTTTATAGAACAATTTGCTATACATCTTCCTGTCACGCTCAAGCTGGGCCCGATGCTTTGCCTTTGCCAATAGCCGCTGTGACAATGCCGCTTTATTTTCAGGCTCAATCTTGAGGCAACGATCAAAATCCTCTATGGCCATTTTATATTCGCAGATTGTGAGCTGCGCCTGACCTCTACGGTATAGAGCCTTGACATTATTGGCGTCCAGCTGGAGAACTTCGTTGCACGCTTCGATGCACTGAGTCATTTCGTTGAGTTTGAATTGAACAAGGGCAATATTGAGCAAACCGGCAATATACAGGCTGTCCCGTTTCGTTTTTTCCTCATCCTTGAGTCGATCTTCGCTTTTAAGGAATTCGCGGACTCTATTATAGTACTTTAGCGCCTGTTCAAGGTTGCCCTCTTTAAAGTGCCAGGTTCCCTTCTCTTTGTCCTTCTCTGCTGCGGCTATTTTCTCGTCTGTGTTCAGCTCCCATGCATCTTTCGCCTTTTCGAAGTTGTGCAACGTGACGACGTACGTGAGTTCTGCACCATCTTCAACGCTGGGTAGAGATGGGTCCTTAACAAAGTCGCCTTTCAAATAAAGTTCCGATTTTTCACCTTTCTTCATCTTTTGCACTGCTACTTCGATAGCTCGACAGACTTTTTGTACTGCTGCCTCGCCGACAATGAAGGTGACATCCCGTTCGTCAAAGACCTTTCCATCGCTGTAACTACCTCGGATGTGAGCCGTGCACTCTGTGAGATCCTTGGGCGTCGTGTATAGTTCACCCTTGGTGATGATCCTTCTCTGCAGTGAACCGTCTTTTTCGGGCGAGATATCTTCGTAGGCCCAGCGTAGGAGTTCAACTTCAAAGATTAGCGTGGAATTTGGAGGAATCTTCGGCGGCGATCCATTTTCGCCATACGCATATTCAGCGGCACACGTCAGACGGCACAGCTCACCTTTCTTCATTGACGCGACACCGATATCCCACGCTTTGATCACCTGTTTTGAATTTGCCGCATGGAAGGACATTTAACATCCGTGAACCAATATTTTTTACATATATGTTCAAAGCAAAAATTGCGAATTTTCTCATCTAAGGTGTAGCAGAGCCTACAGAAGGTATGAATAAGCTATGCTAGCATAATAGAACCTAAAAATTTTACAATAGCACATTCTACGGAAAATTTGAATAAGCTATGCTTACAAAATTGCCTTACAAAAATGCTTACAAAAAACCATAGAAATCTTTTTACGAGCAGACTGATATTGTCTGTAAAGACTGAATAGTGAAACTTGAATTAATACTACACGTAAATCTATGTGTACGTATTGTACTTGTACAAATTATCGCAGCGAGCTTACCTGTCCAGTGCCAAGCTGGAAGTCAAATTCGGTACCGCGATCTCTAGACGAATCGAACACTGTTCCGTCCTGCAGCGTACCATGATAATGCACGTAAACGGTGCACGATTCGCCGGGAGTTGCGTCACCTTCGCCCTCCCGAAGGATTTCCTTAAGAACACCCCCGTCTTTTTTCTCCGTTAGATCGACAGCCATTGTTACACCACGATAGATGTTTCTGCAAGGAATATCGAATTCTAAATTTAATCACAGCTTTGACAAATTAAAAGCCGTCATTTAGTCGTTTTTAATTTCAATAAGCATTTCGTAGAGAAGTTACTTAAAAAATACTTAAAGCCGCGTCGTTGCGTAGGTAAACAGTAAACGCCAAATTACCTCCCGCATATGAAAAACGGGTTCATTTCTTATTACAGGCGACTTAGATATCCTACATATATTGTATAATTACAATAATGACCTTGTAATAATGGAACACAGACGGCCGATCGAATTCATAGTATGCACTACAATAGATGACTTATGTAGTGGCAATCAAGCTTTCAATACGTGTTTTTTTGCATGCAAAATCAATTCCCTACGACAAATTTTTATTTCAATTATTCTTTTTACACAGTGGCTAGACTTAACATTTACCGTACGCGGTTTAGTAACTACACAGTACCACAATGATGCATTCAAGAGCTAGAATAGTTAAAAAGAATGTTCCACCGTGATCGAGAATGTTCGAAACAAACAGATAGGATAAAGATCGAAATGGTACAACTGTTCCTGTTGCTAAAGCCAAATCGGTTTCTAATTATTATGAGGAAACACTCAACGAGTGAATAAAGTAAAAGAAAATCAATTAACTCGTTCAGACGACGTGAAGCATGTATCCAATCTGCGATTATGCTTTGGTGCCGAAATGTGTGTTACTGTTTACTAACGGAAAAGATTGTTTTTACCATAAAAAAAGCATTGTATTCTGTACATAAACATCAAAACTTTCGTAGCTGAGACACCAGAAAAGTACCATGTTTTAGGCGTTCTTTACCGCTGACAACGATTCGATTTCAAATAACGCATGCCGGACGCAATTTAACTCATTGAAATCTTTACGGGCACTAAAAACATTCTTCGAATTTTCCGAGAGCGCAAAGCATTTATCGACACCTCAGTCGAAGAAGGTTATAAAGACTTTACACAAATATAAGTTTTCTTTCGAAGATAACTGCACTGAGTACTTAGTACTGTGACAATGTTTCAATATGATGACGATGCCACCATGCTCCCACGTCAGAACATCCGCCACTGCCAGGAGACGCGAGCAGGGCGAGATGATGTTGCACGCGGATGGTTATTACCCTGCAAGAATTGCTCGTTCAGCCGTTTGAACTGTTAAAACGAACTCTTCGCTACTGAAACTTTCGCAAGTTTGGTGCGACGCTTAAGGCTGCGTAGAAAACGTGGGTAACGCCGCTCGACTCACCGGGTAAACGAAGTGAAGTGGTTTCAATATGAGGAAAACTAAGTCCGCTTTGAAACTAGCGCAACCGACTCGCGCAGAATTCGACAAAGACTAAATGCTACAGTGGGGTTAGAGAATATTCGAGCAAACCTATAAAAAGCTTCCGCATTTCACTGTTAGGTGGCGCTGGTGATATGGGCGCTTTTTTTAATTTATTTCAGCAGACGCAGTAATCATTTTGTAAGATTACGTTGAAATATGGGGTACGGATGTGCGATTTAGAATTTTCGGTCATTTCGTTGTGGGGGAGGTATGAAAAATGTCATTAAAAAATTGGCGGAAAACTGCTGTCGTCAGCTAATTGTCCGTCCACAGGGACTTGAGCTCACCTGCCTTTCGGGGTCATTGAATTATTAGTTTGCACTTTTTTCTTGAATTGATTTTGTTCTCGAATGATCTCCTTTATTTTGCATGTTATAGGGGTTTATCGAGGCCGTAACAGGCCAGTCCTGAGTCAATGGTGAAAATGTGTCTAGCATCTTGTGCTTATGTTAAAATTATATGTTATGACAATCTGTTGTAGATAGTAAGCTGTCGTTAGAAACGTAAACTCAGTTCGTGATTTAACTTAAACAGGCACAACGAATTCAGCAAGTTTTAAAAGCGGTCAGCTCACACGTAACAACTGTTGCAGCAATTTCGGTTATGGCACAAGAACAAGTCGCCCGCCGAACACTGACCGAAGTATGGGCAAACCTTGAGCGCGCAAAGTTGTCGCGTTCAGATATGCAGCCATTAGCCCAAACAGTTTTCTTTCATTCAGCAAACAATGATGACCTATTGTTGCTGGAAGTAGATTCCCACATTTTGGAAGAGGCAAAAAAACTCGGTGTCATTATTCGAGGCGATTTAGAAGATGAACTTGTTCTATGTACCGGTAAGTTGTTAAATACATCACGGTTTCAATATGCACGTTAATTGCGGCTCTACACTACTTTGAATACCTTGAAGTGAGAAGTCAAACTATTCAAGATCTGGAATATTTATCAGTTGAACCGTTAAAGTATTGGCTTCTAAAACTCACTCCTTGTCTCTGCTTTGGTCCTCAGCAGTATATCAAATGTTATCGTTTATGTAAAATTTACGAAATCAACGTCTGCTTATTCACTGTAGCGTTATTGTTATGATAAGCTTTCATTACAGTAAATAGAAAATGTCTACAAAAAGGGTCAGCTGTCAGCATAAACTCTGTCAGTGATCCGCATCAAAATGTGCTTTATTTACTTTTGTAGGCCGCTTTTTATGCTTTCCTGCTTATAATTATCCAACGCTTATTATAAAATCAAATAAGCTGCAGGCATAGAAAACCCTAAAATTATGAAATAATATCGTGTCGTTGTTTCCCCCCGTAATAGCCTCCGGGTTAATTATGTAGACTCTCTAGACAACATGATAGACTTCTGTGCTTTGTGTTACTTCGAATTGTTGCAGAATTGTCTCTTAACACATTCACTATACTAGGACGCGTTTAGCTTAAAGCTTTAGGTATAAATAATACAAATAATTTTGGTTAGATCATTCTTAATGTTAGCAAACGTTCTCCAGTCTCTATGTAGTAAAATCGCATTGCGAAATAAAGCCGTGTCGTGATGTGCATGTAGCTTTAAACACTTATTTGTTTCCTAGATTGCTGCTGATGGTACTTCATGAAGTCTACTATGGCTCAGTATTTGATATTTAAAATTTGCTTCCTCGTGTCGTTGTGCTTAACAATATGACCAGGCTCAAGGACGTATTCGGTGCGTGAGGCAGAAATATCCAACTCGCTTTTGGTCGTGCCCAATCTCCGCCTGGCCGCCAAGGGGCAGCCACTGACGGCAGCAATGTCAAAAGCGGGTGATGGGCTTGACACTCGTGAAGTTCTCAAAACCTTCCACCACTACTGGGAACCAAGGCAGATTCGGCCTTCTTCCAGAAAACTGCACAGGTAGAAGGGTTAAAATATGTGTTTCTAAACTACTGTACACACTAATTAATTTGACTGAGTATAGTTCCGATGTTCGTCTCTTAATCTATGTTAGCCGCATTTTCCCTAATACATATGTCCGTCTTTTTGTTGCCGTCAGCAATGTTGCTTTTTAAATGCTTAGATTTTTTGAGCCGTTTTAAATATTCAGTGTCATATGAGTAGGTCTGATGAGTGTCATAAGTCATATGAGTTGAGTCTGCCTTCAAATGGTTTCGTACAGTACTCACTAAACAATATTAATTTCTAGGTCGTTTGTTTTTGCTCAGGTATTATTATTTTGTCAGCAATAAGCTTAGTGACTGACATCGAGACCAGTGTTTAAAACCTTGACGCTGATCATGTCAAATGATATTAACAGAACAACAAATAGGAATTGTATAACCTTTTTTAGTTTTAGCTAGGTAGCTTATATACTTAGGCCTACTATTGTAAGCGTCCATTGCATAATTTGAGGTCTTCATGCCCTTACGAAATTTTAGACAAAGCAGGAATTGCAGCAATTATTTTTCTTGTATACGAGCATTCGAACTGGCTGCTCACACTACGCGGAAACGTTCTACATTACATAATAAGAATAATCATTACAAAAATCTTAGTTTATTGACAGAATCGGAGTACCGCGGTATTGAACTGGAAGGCGACATACCGCAATCGTCCCTGTTCTCCTTGCCAAAACTCCTCAATCACGTTCAGGCTTCAGAAAGCGAAATTAAAGAAATGCTTGGAGCGCTACCAGTTGCTGAGGTGGACGGCTGTGTCCGTCTACTTGGATTCGAGTACCATTTTCGAGTGCTGGAGTTCATGCTTACTTCGATCGAATCGAACTCTATGCCGCTGGATAAAATCGACACCAATGTCGTTATTGAAGAGGTAAACAGGCTAATTAGATGCATCGATAAGATACATTTTATCATTGTTGTAATGAGTTAGGGATTATTGCATTTGCAACATTACAGAACTTATTCTTGCTCCATGTCATGTTGTATCCCTTTACTTAGATAATTAATCTTCAATCAATTCAGCAACGGCGCTGGTGAAAACCGTGTAATATCTGGTGATTTTTTAAACTTGACGCAGTTATGAATTCTTTAAAATTTTGCTGCTGTCTCGAAATAAAGATCACTCTAAATTGTATAATATTTAAATTCCTTATTTGTTGTATATATCGATGATTTCATTATCTTCGTATAGTGCACACTGCATCGACATAGGTTAATTTGATTATACAAGTTTTAGTGTTACATTCAGCTAAACGTTTCGCGCAGGTGTCAGAATTGGAACCTCATGAAATTGTCAAGGCCGTCGTATCATGGTATGTGAAGAATCAGGTTCTACTCAAGGCGAAGGTCAGCCGCACTCAGGGTGAGGCACTACTCCGAAGTGGTGAAAGCTTCAACCTCGAGCAGTTCATCACGACGTGGCAACAAAGTCTTCCGGAAGGTCTTACAACTGATGTGGCTTATCTTTACGGCATCTCGTACGTGGACGAAGATCGTCAGCGACCCATAATAAACTATCTGTCAACATGGGATCTACCCGAGGTCGAGAGCGCCCGTTTCGATACGTTACTTCGAATGAAAACTTCTTGGCGATTCGAAGAAATCGAACCGTACATCTGCGATCTATCCTTGAAAAATGTGAACTCTTTGTTATTGAAGTACGCTAGATCTTTCCAAAAAAATGGTCACATTTTCTATTCGAAAAAGTGATTGGTAGAGTCGAATGAGCTTTTCAAGTCTTGTGGTTGGCAAAGAAAGGAAGGTGTAATTGCCTATAGATAAAGCGATTGTAGAAAACAAATATGAAATCCTTTGCTAAATGTTTTTCTAAATAAATATAGTAGTGTTTATTTAAACTGTAAAAAGACAACAATCTTAAGGCAGAGTAAAATCATTGTGTGCATATATATATATATATATATATATATATATATATATATATATATATATATATATACAGAGTCGTACGATTATATAATATATTGTAGCACACAATGAACCTGTTGTGCCCTAAGAATGTTGTCTTTTTGTATACATATTTATGTATGTATATATATATATTCTACGTCGTTTTATGTTTCTATTTTTAAATGGGCCGAATATGAACCGAATATGAATAGTGTACTTAATGCAATGAAAATATTCAAAATTACCGTAGATATTCATTTGTTCCATTGATAGCCATTTTATTTTTAGGTATGTAAATTGTAAAATTTTATATGTAAAATTTTAATAAAATCAGACTTATTACTCAATGGGAGGCAGAATGATATAAAATTATAATTACATAAACTGTGAAAAAGTAATTATGTAAACATATAATTAATAAATACAAATTTAAGTACAATTGAATAGAAGTTAAGTAATTTCGCATTTCTTAGCATTTAGCATTTAGATAATGGTAACATTACGGTAGTTGTCCGTCATGATTTTCTGGAATAATATTTTCTGAGTTTATCTACTCTCGTTAACAATCTATGACATCACAGCCATATGAAAATCCCTTGTTTTAACGGTCTCATCGAGATAGAAGGATCTTTAGAGACATGTATTTTGTAGACGATATGAGTTGATTCTGGAATACGAACTATAATTTGACTATCATTGATTTTCCTCTGTTCTTTTCTGAAAACCATTGCTATTCTTTCTGCAGCCTTGTGCTCCCCTGGGATGGTGTACATGAGTGATCTGGGGTAACGACAGTAGCTGGTTATTTTCCGGAGATCTCGTCTAGCCCGAAAATCTTCTATAACTGCTGCGTTTTGCTTTAGTTTAATAGTGAATCACTCTTTTATATCATGGCTAACAAATGTCTCGCATTGTATGTCCCGTACATGAGCCGTTCACATTACCTTACACGGCTAGCTCTTGCATGCATGAAACTTAGTGCGTGCCTTCCCAACGCAGACCGTTCAAGTTTAGCAGGCAAACACGTTACCACTGCATTAACATTGGGATTTTCTACGATGGTTGCAAATTTACATTTTCGTTGGAAGTTCCGATTTCGGCTGAGCATATTCGTTAAACTATAAGTGATTAGTTAAAGGAAATCATATTTTAATATATACCCACAATGGCTATCCTACGACTTAATTGATGATAATATTTGGAGATGGCAAGTACAAAAGACTTCTGCTTAGGCTTCCTCTGTTATATTTTCGTTCTTGGAAACGAGGCATCATTTGATCAGATCACACATCATTGAATTTCGCGCCATATGTTATTTTCCTAATATTCGAATCAAAACCCAGACAGGCGCAATCGGCCTCTAGTTGTCCTAGACAATTTGTTACTTGTCGTATCCCTTTCTGTGGTAACCGAAGGTGCTTGAATAAAGGAATTATCATGTGTGTAGGCGGACAAATCCCGTTTAAATCTGCGTACGCAAAGTACCTATTTAACTTGCGCGGTTACAATCGGCTTGGTCTTTTCAGGGATGACTGCGTCCGAGAGACCCCAATTACGAAGGAGGCCATACGACGACTCCCAAAACAGGTACTGTTGCAAGCTGAGTCATTAGCCAAGATGATTCTATAATAATTACATCGCGTTATACTTTTTTTTTTCGCTAGAATATTTTGCTATGAACTCATAAACCAGAGAATTAGGCTCGTTAAATAGTGTCTTATTATAATTAAAAAATAATATGACATGTAGCTTGTATGACTGAATACAGTGTTGAACAAATATACCGAAGTTCTTCAATCTCACAATTATATAAAGAACAATATAATCCGATGTATCAATCAGGTTATAAAATACAAGGTTTACTATCACATCGCAACAGGGAATAAACGCTTAGTACGCGCGTGCTACTACGTTTTCTTCGCATCAGAGCTGGGACAACGTGAACATATTATTCGGTTTATATCGCGAAACTCCGTGGAGAAATTAGACTCCACTTTAGAAACTACAGTTTGCTTCTTTTATATTTTTCTTATTGCGCATCTTCGATATAAAAATCAATTAGAAAGTTGTTCAATTATATTGAATGAACGCTAAGAACGCAACGAGGTCCGAGTATATTCAATCCTATATGCCCCCTTGGCATCTTTTCTGTTCAGTGAAAGGTTTTGCTACGGAGAACTGAATTAAATTAGTCATGAGGCACTCTAATTTATGAAGATTTTTAATTTAGAACTTAAACTGATAGGCTTTCTTTGAATGTTCGTGGTACTGAGGAGAAGTCATCCAACTTGTGCATAGTGTGAGAGCCACCTTGTTACAGTATTTCTCACTAAACCTTAGTGTCCCAACCCGGCATTCGGGTGTGTCCATTTGCATTACTTTAGTAGACGTTATATTATTATTATTTTAATACAGTTTCAACAAAGGGCAGTATTTTATATTGAATGAATGTATTAACATTTATTTTGAGCACTGTTCAAATGCGTTAATTTTCCATCTCGACTTGTTAACAAATGTGTCGAGTTTTTACGTCCTTTACGTAAACATTACGTAAACTGTAAAACATACAGATAGCTGGCTTTTTCCAACACGAAGCTAACTACCTTAAACCTGGCTTCAGACCTAGGTGTTCTTAAATTTAGTAGGGCAACATGTCGTGCTCGTAAAATTCACTGAGAACGCTGTTGCTAATGTAGACTGATTGCGATTTTAATTCAGTTGATTTTTTTGCAGTCGTATCTATTTTTATTTGTAATAATTACAAAATTGCATTTACTTGGACATCTTTTTTACTGCAGATTCAGGACGAGCGTAACTACCGTTCTCTGAGAGCCATTCAGGCTGACATCAATAAGCAAATCTTACCCAAGGAGCAGTGGACGAAACCCGAGGAGGAAGTTGATTACTTGACACCATACGTCAAGCAGGTTGAGGCGGAAGAAGCTGAAAAGAAGGAATGGTACCGAACCCATTAATAATGAACTGCTTTTAATATAACGAATATTCGAGCTGCCAGGCCATAGATCCCACTTCGTTACTAAGTGAGGAAATGAATGAGGATGAAATATTTGACGTTGTAGTTGCCTCTCCCGAAGCCGAAGTCATGGTCAAAAAAGATCGTGGAAAATGGAAGAGTTTTAAAAAATAAAATTATATTATGTCATAGTTCCAATAGGCGAGACTGTTATCACTTTGATGATGCACATGAATTCAATAATAAAGCTATCGGCACTTTGTGTATCAATGCCACCCATGCTCGGTTAGAATAACTGTTTTCCAATAATTATGTGTTAATATATAAATATTTCTCCATAATGAAGCAATTATTTTAATACAAAATTGCCGTGGGAAAATATCTATTTATTATGAAAATATTAAGAATGACTCGTTTTTCAGAATGGCTATAAATGAGAAGACTAAATGAACCCGCTGTTTCTGACCCCAGTATTACATATTTCAAATACGGGTGAATGCCGTCACCGAGCTAAATGGAACATTAAGGTTTAACTCATAATGAGCGTCAAATGCGGAGTCTTCACTGGCATTTGTCATGTTTGGTTTCTAGCTCTACATTTTTACTTCGTCCGAAAGGTCGTTGCAGCCATAACATTAATATAGTTAAAATTAGTTGACAAATATTCAGAAGTTTCTATAAAAATCAGTTTTTTATTAATCATTAGAAGATCTTTTTAAATAAAATATTCGTCATGTACGTTTTTTTTTGCATCTTTAATTGCTGTTATTTGCACATATCTGCTACACGGCAAACTAACGTATACACTAATAGACTTGAAAAACGCATTTTCTAGCGAGCCTATACGCATATAAGGCACCTTCATGCATGTGCGAATTTGAACGAACATGAGCTCGTATTGGTCAGTTATGTTGATATGCTTCCACGAACGGTAATGAATTATTACTAATAGTGGTGTTTAGAGAATGCCATGTTCTTTTAGGAGATTTGATGCAATCACGATACGCTGTACTTCACTAGTTCCTTCGTAAATCTCAGTGATACGAGCATCTCGATAGTGTCTCTCGGCCGGCATATCTTTGACGTAACCCATTCCACCAAGGATTTGAATTGCTTGATGAGCGCAGAAGGTGGCTGCTTCCGAAGCAGCGCATTTGGCCATAGCCGCCTCTTTCGTAAACCTTTTCCCCTGATCCTTGAGAAAGCATGCTTGATATGTAAGCAAGCGGGCGGATTGCAGTCGCATTTCCATATCAGCTAACTTGAACTGAATCGCCTGGAAGGTGTGTATTGGCTTGTTGAAAGATTCACGTTTGCCGGTGTACTCGATTGCGCAGTCAAGGGCAGCCTGGGCAATGCCCAACGCCTGACCTGCAATGCCAATTCGGCCACCGTCCAAAATCGTCATGGCAATCTTGAATCCTTCGCCGTCCTTGCCAAGTTGGTTTTCTTCCGGGATAACAACATCCTCGAAGATCAGAGGTCCCGTAGATGACGCTCGAATGCCAAGCTTATCCTCTTTCTTCGGCCTCGAAAGGCCATCGATTGGCATGGGAATTAGATAGGCGTTGATTCCGCGGTTTTTTTTCGTCTTGTCAAATGTAGCAAACACAATGGAAGCTTCTGCTTCATGGGCATTCGTAATCCATGCCTTGGTACCGTTCAGAATAACTTTGCCACCTTCGTGTTTAGCGGTAGTTGACGCTGCTCCTGCGTCTGATCCATTGCCGGGTTCAGAGAGAGCGAAACAGCCGACACGATCGCCCTGAGAGAGATTTCAGTAAATAATTAACGATTATGTTTTTAGACATCCAAACAATCCACATTTGCCAGATGTATATACCCATCGGGACATAACTTAATTTTGCAACCAACGATTCAATGCAGAGATCCAAATTTGTAAACAAAAAAGCCGACCTAGACGACGAACTCAACACGATTACTAATTTTATTGCAATTTCTGACGACTGCATAAGTATCACATATAACTAAGTAGTGGCCAACCTTTTTCAAATATTTTTAGGATAATTTGTAGATAACTGCGCCCAACACTCGCTCCCAAATAAAAATAGAATTTCTCCGAAGCAAGTTTTGCTCTATTTTTGTGAAACGTAAAATATTAAAAAAAAAACAATGCTTTCTTACATTGGTAAACGGTGTGATCCATTTTTTTTTTTGTTCCTGAGTCCCAAACTTAAGAACGCCAGCAATATAGAGCGAGTTGTTTACACTCATTATGACCCCTGTCGAGGCGCAACCACGTGAAATTTCTTCCATTCCAATAGCGTAAGATAACGTGTCTAATTCGGCCCCACCGAATTCCGTCGGCGCAACCATCGAAAGCATCCCGAGCTCTCCGAGCTTCTTGACCTATATATTTGGTGCAAAATCAGATACCTGATACTATAATTATCACATTACACAAACGAAATCGATAACATAACGTTTTCGCTTGTGCGCTGTGTTTACGTTGCACTATTTGCGCTCACCAAGAAGATTATATTAATTTCGAAACGATACGTTAAAACTGTATTAAAGGTTTTTTGGTTATTATAGAGTGCATGAGATCGGGTAAATAACTGCGACAGATAGAGAAATTAGCGATTTCATGTATGTTAGATTATTGTTATTAAGCATATTTAAATTTTTAATCAGTTTCAACATGCATTTTTTTAAATAATAAAGAAAATAATAAATCACACTTAATTCTTAGGAAAAGTCACATATGTTACTTTTAGCCGACAATGCAATTGCCAACCTGCTCTCTTGGGAAGGTTTCATCTGCGTCCAATTTTCCTGCAATAGGTTTTAGTTCTTTTTCGGCGAACTCCCGACACGTGTTCTTGATCATCTGGTGAGTTTCCGTAAACCCGTAAAAATAAGCCCGGCTTTGCCCTTTGTGCATCTGTTTCTGAACGCCGAATATATGTTGGGAGGCAGTTACAACACGAAACGCCAAAGACCGATTTGCAGAGAGCATGTTTCGCAACATTCTGCAGTATGTAAGATCGAAGAGAAAAATCAGTCTTAACTCTCCGTTTCGTCGAAACCGTATTTCCATCTTGGTGTTAACGATATATAAAAGCTCTGTCTTCTATTATCGAATACTTGACAATAAGAAGAAGAAAGGAAGCTGGAAACGAAATCACTTTTGCGTGACCTTTGTAAGCTACCATTGCAGATCACTCACAGTTGAACAGAATGAAATAACAAGCACACTAAAATAACAACAAATATATGCACTGTCTCCCAAGACGCAAACAAGGCTTAATCACACTCAACCAATATCAACATTTCCAGTAACTATGTAACTTAGTAGCTAAACAACACTTCAATCCGGATTCAGATTCAATGTTTTGTAGCGAATTTATTTCGACTCAGGTCATGAAGCTGGCATACGACTTCAGCTGTGCCTTTGTGGAAAGAACTGGTTCTCCCATTGTTCCGGACATCAAATTTAGAAGTCCAATTAAAGCGATTCTGGGTCCGGACTGGCTAAAAACTATTTAGGCTTGTTGGAAGAAAGTTTAATCGTATTTTGTTCGAATCACACTGATTTTTCACCCTCGATGAGCATTATCCGGTTGAATTCCCCTATTACACATACTACCTGTGATATCGTTGTGTCAGCTCGTGCTTTTTTCAGGTTAAAATAGCTACGTGTTTGAAGTATAAGTCATTTGGCACAGGCACATATGTACACGGTCGCTGTAACCAATTAATATGAGGCCTCATATACCTAAGTACAACAACTCCCCTATAACCATCTTCACCAATAGTGCGTAAACACTTCAGTATACGCTATTGCTCAGATTACTATTTTGGCAGCCTTAACTTATTTAAAAATTCGTCGAAGTTAACTCACAGAAAGCCGTAAAAAAAGCTAAATATCTTTTCGATTAAATGCACTTTTCCTATGGTAAAAGTCGAGCCTGTATCAGGTGTTCGATAATTATTGTTTAAAGTGCAAATCGTTTTGAAAAATTTCTTGCATTTATCCGATTCAGTCGACCTGCTATCAACAGAAGTCGCAAACAGAATGTGTTACTAATATGGAAGAGATTCAAAATTGCGCCATTTTGTTAGCAACTTCGTTATTGCATGTATTGCTTCCTACTAAATCGACTAATACATGAAAAGTAAGATTTTCTGGGGAGTTCTTTATATTTCCACATATGTCAAGATCTAATCTAATAATAGTTAAGCTAAGAAAGCCGACCATGCTCCAATACTTCAGAAAGAATCATATTCTCTGATTTTTAGTCATTACGAAATATCTTTAATCTAGTTATCTATTAGTTTCTCCAATCAGAACTCAGTCGTGAATTTCAAAAGGCACCTGCCTCTAATTCTATTACAATAAAATCTTTAAATCTCATTAGATATGAGTACATAAGGCAATATGTGGTGGTTTACTGTCAAGAATGGATAATTCTGCATTTGATGCAGTAAACGATTACTCTTGACAGAAATCATTAAAACACTGTTATCGAAATATGTCGACGTAAACTCACTTGGTAAAGGACAAAAACTCACTAACTGGTGCCAGCCATATAACTTTTTACATTACCTTTCTCTCAGAGTTAATGTGTCTCGTAATGTCTTTATCTTTTCCCATTCTTTTTCGCTCTCACCCCCATCTCCCAAGCACTAATTTTTTTGGTTGTCTGCTTTGAATTTGACGCGGGCATCACATTTTATATTGGATTCAACAAAAAGCATAACATATGAGGTAATCGAAAGGTTTTTCATATTTTACAACAACTAAGAATAAGACATCTATAGTGAAGTTTACTTTAAAGCACTTGATTGTGACCTGCGTTTGGAAAACAACTTAGGTTCAAAAAATTAACTTCGAAATCAACACTACTAATATTACAATTCTTCATAATAATAATATAGACAAGAGTGGGCTAGTCATCATATTTCGACGACATGATTCGGAAATTACGTTTTAGGTAAGATTAGATGAAAACGATGTTTAAAGTAACGATGATATGGTTAAGCATGGCCATTTATCATGATAAGAGGCCAAATACGTGCTTAACATATGTATGGTATCTACAAACCATAATGAGGCGATCGGATCTTCAAGAAACTTTTAAATTAAAAGCCAAAATGATTAAATCTGTCTGTGTTGAGAATTCGTAAATGGCAATTTTCACTTATTTATTAACCAATCGTCGCAGCGCACCAATTTTAAAATAATGCGTCTCTCTGAAGCGTTAAAGATCGCTAGTAATTCGAGTCATGTACCATGGCTTGTATCAGAAGTGAAGCGTCAGCTTCGAAGAATGCAGCTCAAAAAAAAATTCCGAAAAAATTTAGATTCGTTTATAAACAATGTAATTATAAAGAATTTTTTTCCGTTCTCTATTAAAAAGAAGCAAGGCAAAAATGATTTCAAATAATACCTCTGCAATAACGTCGCGACGTTAAGTTGATTGCATGTCGATTTTATAGTGGCTTGGTTAATCCTGTGTCTCAGGAAACAAGCTCAGGCTGTCGTAATTCCTTTTTTGCTTTTATATTCAAGAGGCGCTACCAACATTTCAGTTATAAATTATTCAAGTTGAAAATTAGTTAATGAAACATAGCTAGGATAATTTTGCGTGTTTTCAGATCTTGTGTTTAGTATGAGCAATATAGAGCACCATAAAATGGATTTACAAGAAGTTTCGTGTGGGTTTAAGGAGCGCATTGGTCTTACCTTATGATATAAAATCATATCTAAACAATGGTACAGCGATATTTAAAAGATGCCGAAATAATTAGTACAAAGTAATGAAAAAAATCAAAACAAACGTAATGTTTCAACAATGTTCCCGTAATTTATTTATAAGGCTATATATTTTATCTGTGCAAATATACAACTACAAACGAGCTAATTAAATAGCTATTCTTCCGCGTCTAGCAGTTATACATTAGTATATACATTTCTAATAATAATATTCTGACAGTACCGTCTTACGGTGTATCGACGAAGCTCGGAGCTCGACCAATGAATAAACATATTTGGTTGAATCCTATTTCGAACAAATTGCACCAATTTTTTGTACATACAACTATTATCAATATTAGTCGTAATACAATTCATCCTCATGTGTAGATTCAAATCGTTCAATACGGCTTAGCTTTATGAAGCTTTGATTTGGTTTTTATCGATGATCCCGCCTGAAAATGTCAAACGATTTAAAAAATCTATGAGATACCAGTAATCACATCGGTTACCTTTCATATTCTGATAGCAAAACGCTAATTATGCTCAAATGTGAATCGTCGTCCGGGAAACTTCACAAATGAAACCTATGGTTGAATAACCAAAGAAATGCGCGTAAATCATGAAAAAGTAGCCAAGTAATTTATCTACGACATATGAAATAAAATCGAATATACTTAGCTATTGATGGAATAAAAAATCACTCTAGGGTGAAATCTTGATTTAGACAGACGTTTCCGTGAAATAAAACAATACTGATCTACTTATTCTCTTCTATCTAAATCGTAAGTTATATCAAGTGAATGTATGGCATATTCCCGGAAATTTATAACCGTTCGGTCGCCTCTATGGTTTTTCGTATCCGCCTGTGTAATTGCAAACTGTGACCTCTGATTTTTGAGACCTCGATGAATTAAGGCTTAGCTCGCTTTATACCTTGAAGTCTTTTGCAGCTACCCCCGCACATTGTGCGCCCTCTTTCCAGTAACAAACGATGCCATCCTCTCCTGCAGTCCATAAGGATTTCTGTTGGCCAGTTTCGTCTCGGCCTGCTACTGCAGCCCGGACAAGATCATGATGGGACGCGGCCAACGAAGCGAGGTGAACACCAGCTTCTGTCCACAGCTCTACCTTGCCGTCGTTTGACGAACTCACCAAGGTTGAGAGTCCATCGTCAAATGTCACCATTCCCACTAAATGGTCGACGACAATCTACACAAAGAAATAAAACTACCATCAGCAAATGTATGTTTAGAGCAGTCTACGGCAGAGTGATTTGCCTTCACGTGGAAACTGGTAGATTAACGAATTAGGGCTTACGAAAGCATGAAAATCGAAAAAAAAAATCAGTCAACAAGCACTTATAAATACCTTAGTACCAATTGCTACAATTACAAAAGAGCGTTTCCTAATTTAAGAAAAGAAGTAAAAGTTTTCTTGACGCAGGGCTTAGCACAAAGTCGTAGAATCGTAGGTTTTCTACCAAAAATTAGTAAGGACATACCCAATAACCCACTTAATAATGTATTAATTAATGACATTTGTCTTTCTGGAGCATCATATTACTATTGACAAAGAAAAACAGTAACACACTAGGACTAACTTGCTTGTAGTTAACTCTGTCGTCGATTCAATATTTCACCCAAATGTAGAACTTAACGATAAGGATGATACTGACGCTAACAGTACGACACGGTAGTCTTACTAAATTTTCAATACATACCTTGTTATCGCCAGCATTCCCCTCGACGAGCTTCTCTCTGGTCCTTCGAAATTTTGGTTCAGCATCATCAGCCTCCCACCACTGAAACTCTTCTTCTGAAGTCACTATTGCTAAACGGTCCACATCTAATGCAGTCCTTTTAAGCCACGACACAGAACTCTAACACGAGGAACAAGTAACGATAAAATAGCGAAGTTCAGTCACTCTTTGCTATGAAAATGATTCTTTAGAAACTGCTTCACATAAATATTTATCCGCCGAATTTGGTCCCGATATAAGGTAACGCACATTTAATTATTTCTAGGCACCTATTGCTTCTTCGCCTGTTTCAAGAAAAGACATTTTCACACCAAAGATTATCTATGGTCATAATTTCCTACGTACCACGGCACACTCTGCATTAAGCGTATACAGCAGAGCGTCATCTTCGCATGCCTCATCGATGTCAAAAACATTAACAAGACCGTCCACTCCTCCAGTAAGTAGAAACGACTTCGCCGAGGGATGGAATCGCACCTGTAAACGGTGAATAAATAGTAAAACGAAATTCAATAACAATAATTATCATAATTATTAAAATAATACTAATTCATACATAAATAATAATTAAAAAGTAATAAATTATGGGCGGTAGCGTTGGAAAATTGTTAAATCGTGGTTACTCATCTCTTCGATGGCTAGGGGAGTATTCGTTAGATAGATAACCAACTATGATAGAGTATTCAATTGTATTCGTTATTTTATAGAAGCTCCGGTGATCCTAACAATGGAACTGCTAAAACATATGTAACTTGATTCCGGTGACTAGCGACGAGCAGGCTTAACACATTTAACGTTTCAAGTACTTGAGCTTGTCTAGCCTATCCTACATTAGAAATAGAGTTCAGTAAGTATTTTTACGGATAAGATCTGCACGAAATTCTTGAGATCCACACATTTAGTTTTTTCCACATATTTTAAAATTAGTTAATTATGACCATTAGTTTGTTGCTGCGATTTCTTTTTTATATTGAGAGATTTAAAATACATATTGGGAAAGGTGCTTACAGTCTCAGACTATATGTACTTCGTTACCTTTATATTAGTGTTATGCTCAGTGTTTTAAGCGCCGTCTCCATAATTAATGGAAAAATATGGAAAACACAGGAAAGCAACCTTCTTCGGAGATCCGGTTGCACACCGAAGGTGTCTGCATATTTAAACAATTGTAGTTATAAGATCGGCTTACCTGTGTTACGTCTTTACTGTGAGTATCCCAATAGCCGCCCATGAGCTTTCGCGTATTACGCAGGTCCCAAAATAGGATAAAAGCATCTTCCTTTAAGGTTTCGCTACCAGCACAAGCCACAGTTCCTTCAAGATTTACGTCGCAACTTAGGAGGGGTTTCAATTCGGCAGCGGGGTCTGTCGCTAGGTAGTTTACAGGAAATAGTATTACTCAGAGTTAAAGCATAGGTTAGGGCAAAAGCAAGAATTTACGCTATTATATATATATTTAATATTTGTTTTCATAAATAAATTTAAAGAAAAATAAATTAGGTTACGGTACCACACGTGGAAGATATGACTGTGTGTGTAACAATGGCTTGTTCCTTACTTGATGACATTTCTAATGAAACTCTATCGGGCTCTCTTAGGTCCCACAGCCGTAAGAAGCCATCGGATGAGCACGCCATCACGCTATTTTCGTCTGCAAACTTTAATTCTGTTAATCGCACATTCTGAAAGCCGGAAGCCGCACAAAATAACAGGGGCTGATTGCAGGATGTAAGCTCTTATAAATTTGGGTTTATAATATAATTGCTAGTTGTGCAAAGAAAACATGAAGCAATTTATATGAATTACACTGGTAACTGAGATATGGTTATCGAAAGAAAGCCAGTGGTTAGGTTAAAACTAACACCGTGATAAATATGTTCTGAAAATATGTTCTAGGCATGTTATGCAAACCAAAATGTTATCAATGTTTTATGAGCCTACTCGGCTACAAATGCCGCCTCATCTTTCTTACCTTGCTGTTAACTGTTAATTTCTTCGTCACTTGGAGACCGTGGCAGTCAATTACGCGTAAACCAGATGGTATAATTATACATAACTGGGACGTCGCACTGAAATTAATTAAAACAACTTAATGAACTCCGTGAAAAGCGATAGTTGGTCTAAAAATAGCCAGTGTAACTTAATGAGGCCGTCTGCAAAGCGAGCATCCAGATGAGAAGTACACAATCGATTCTGTATAAAATAGCAAAACGTTTCGTAGGAATATATGTGAACCATTGTCAAAAAAAGCATGAAAGTAAAGATGTAAGTAAGATGAAAGCAAACACGTCAAAAGTGGATAATGCAAGTAATGAAAATTATATTTATGACTCGATTTAGCCTTAGACGTGCTTAATTATGCTGGTAATAATAATACCAGTCCACCTTCTCTATAATACGGTTATGTCCAAGAATAGCTAACTGAACATACGAAATTTAGCAGACTATCAATTCATGAACATCTAAGAAAGACATGCGTAGTAGACATTACATTAAGTGAGATGTCCTACTTTATTCTGTTTTAGTTCTGAACCATACTTATTTCTTACTTTAAAAAAAATAACTATAATCTCAATCATACTTATTACTTACTCGCTATAATCGATGGCTGATATATAAGAGTTTTGCTCTATAAGTTTACTGGCCACGCAAACAAACGCATTAGTAATAGGTAACTTCATTTTAGCCTCCGCTGTGGTGGAACCGATGGTTTTCCGTCGCACTTTTCACGTAGTTATAGATCACACAACAGCAGCGTCTAGTTAAAAAACACAATTTCCATTACTGTTTTTGAGAATAATAAAAATATTTTCAGAATTTGATAATCTCAGTTGTAACCATATACAGGGCTGCGTACAAGATGCGCGTTGAAGCAGTCTAAGAAATTAGACGCGTTTTATGCTTGTCTGCTTAATTAAATTTGCGCTCAAATATCGTTTTTCTTGTTTAACATTTTTTGATTCAGCACTTATACATATAGCGTGCTCCTGTGGACGGAATGTTCCGTCTCAGCTTCAACAAAGGCACGTGCTACACCTGGCGCGGAGCTGTGGTGAACAGCGATACTAACAACCAATTGAATTTTGCCGGCAAGTTATCTCAAAACATTGGACTAGATCTGTCGGGATTCAGTGCTAACTCCCTTTACTACTTTTGGAACCTGCTACATAGCTGAAAGCTCTCTTAACTACTTAAATTCTTTAATTGAAATTACCATTAATTGAAATTTAGTTTTCCGCTACATAGTCAATTTCAACGTGCACCACAGTTAGCTTCTAGGGCCTGTTCACGTTCCTATTTGAACATATATCTCATTATGAAGAAGCCGACTAATAGTGCAATTCTTCAGTCAATAAAGCAGGCTGCAATAGTAACTAATTTCATTCCTGGACTGTTGATTACGAAGAGATTTAGGAGGATCCGGAGAAACCCCGCGAAAGGTTCAGCCCAAGTCCCCAAGCAAAACGCGACTCGGAATCACTACACCTTCCTGCGTTCGAGTGTCCGCCACTTTAGCGGGAGCCAGTTCTGTAACGGCGGCCATAGCTGTGTACACGCCAGCCACAACTCTGCTTCTGACCAGTCGATTTAATGCAGCGAGTGAGTTCAGTAGACAGGTCGATCAATCCGTGCGCAAAAACAGGAAGATCCCACATTCGACTAGGCGTGAGCTGTATACCTTTTGTGCCGTCTTGTTAGTCACCTCTCGGGTTATTTGACATAACTAGTGCATTTATCCCGTAATCGGAAACTACAAAGAGCCCTAAGTATCTTCTCTAAATTGAGTGCACCATAATGGGCCGTGACGAAGGCCGCAACGAGAAGCGTCGGTAAGTGCTAAGGTTTCAGGACAATTACCGAAAACCTAGAACGACTATTTCATAGTGGGTGGAAGCAGTTCTAGACTTAAAAAATTTGGGCCTATTGAGTAGCTGGTGTGTGTACCGATTTGTTTTTGAAGTCGCCAATTAAGCTTAGGGTTGACTAAGTTTATAAACCCAGCCACGCATTAGGTAAAGCATAACTCCAGAACTATGCCGAAAATGTCGTAGTACGATGTAGTCTGTGTGGCTATCAGATTATATAAAAAATATATTTAATTGTTTCGTAAAAACAACGCAATTTTGATATAGATTCGACTCAAATTCTCAAATACTCAAAGATGGCATGTGTTTGATTAGGAATGTCGAGAACTGCTTCGGTAAGCCTTTAAATAAATTTTATATAGGAAAATCAAGATAGATTTAAAATAGTTCAGTGGCTGCGTGTTTTATATTCGGTGGCGTGGTTTATTCTGAAAATTGTAGACTATTCAATTACGTTTACTGATGGCACAGTCGAATTTTGAAAAATGTTGTTCACCGCATCAATCGTTCTGCGATGGGTCTATGGTAGCGTCGGTTATTAAGATCAGTCCAAACAAGGTCGTAATAAGAATTTGCTTGTGCCGGAAGTAATCAACAAGGGCAACCGAGGTTTTCGTGTGATTTTGTTATAATTTGTGAGCTTTGACAGATGTTCAGTATTGGCGATAAAAAAAATTGCGGGCTTAGATTCAGGTGTTCGTTTCATCGAGGCTCCTATATATTACACGAGGACACACAGGCTGGCGTTTTCTCATACCTATAAATACATAGCATCGCCAATGATTCGAAACAATTAACACTACCACGAATACTAAATCATTATTTTAGCTTTTTTTTTCCTTTGACATTACGAAATAGCGATGATGTTACATTAGAATGTAAATGAGCATTAATTAGCTGTATTTTCTCGACCTAATTGTATGTGAAAAATTCAAAAATTTTTGTAGGGTCCAAGTTGGCTGCAGTTGGAACAGGATAAAATTCAATTTACAACCTGAATGAGATCAAACTATTTTGACCTCAGTAAAGAAATCCTTTAGCGAGCATTAGACTTTAATGCTAAAGTTTAAAAAAGTTTGTACGGTATTGTTTTCCATCTATGAAATGTGTGAAACATGATTTTCATAAGAACATGTTGGCAAAGAAGACGGTTTTTTTAGATATGTTTAAATACGTAGATTTCTATAATTCCAACCAAGCGTTCTGTTATTTCTGTAGAAATAATACAATTTCTACGTATGTTGCTATGTTGATATCCTAGAAGCTGCCTTGTTTTTGAGTTATGGTCTCTGTTTTATCGTTATGCCAAAACATGCTATTTAATAGATTTTTAATAGATCGAACGACTCATCGAGCCAATTAATTATACGCAAAAATAATTGCAGCCATGTAGAAGCCCACTGCTCTGTTTGAAGATACCCGGTAGTGCTTGTAAAGAACACGGTTAAACTAATGCTCAACAGATACTGTTGTAATGGGTAAATTGCAGATTTTGTAGCTAATGTACAGCGGACCCTTGTTCTCATTGTTATATCATATCCTATTATTTGCATTGATTTGTCACTTCTACTGCTAGCGAGACCCAATCTGAGAATTATTTCAGTATGTTCTTTAAAGACCGTAACTAAACGTAATTGTCTTTGTTCTTTTTTACATATCATATGTTTGGTACAAGAGATTTACCAAGCTTTGATATCCACACCTTGGGTATCAAGGTACATGATGCCGTTCATTGCTTGTTTCCATTTGCAGAGATCGGCGGGAACGATCTCGGGACAGATCTCGCGAAAGACGAAGGGACCGCTCCCGATCTCGGGTGAGATCACGTGACCGAATGTCGGGTTTTCGCAACCGAAGCCGTAGTAGGGATCATCGTCACGGTACCAATGACTCTAACAGGTAAGTATAGATTTTTCTATCTTTTTGAAGTTTGAGTAGATGGTTAAGGGGCGAAATATTGGAACGTTAAGTCAGCACCGTAGAATTTATAAAAACTTCAATCCATCTCATCGTGGCTGATATAAATAGATATTATATTGACTTATCGAAATATTCTCGAAAGTATTTTTTCGAAAAGTTATTTTAGTGGCTAGTTCAAACCTTCCTGGCTGTCCTTATAACTGCTTCGTTAATAATTTTTCGACTCTATGTAAAATAAGGAAACTGTTATCAAGCGAAACATATTCTGCCCTTCGGTTCATACGCTTCAGTATGTAATATATTTGTGACTTTACTTATTCTTTTGGGGGAGTTTAGACGCGACTATTGTCGCGATGATCGTCGAGGCCGTGACCGAGCTCCTAGTGACCGCAGCGACCGTCGTGGAGAACGTCGAAGGTCAACCGAAAGAAAGAAGGCTGACTCGCCAGAGCTTCCTCGGGCTAACAAATTCTTCGACCGGGCACGGAAATTAGGTAAAAAACTAACGCTTGTGAACTGTCAAATTGTAGCAATGAATAGTAAGCAATGTAACGCCCCTATGGTAAAATAACTATATAGTTTACGTAAACAATTTAATTTTTTTTATGTGAATATCATATGTGTTCATCGGCGCTTCACCTGTAAGCGTACTTGTTTTCCCACATGTTGAAAGCGTTCTCCGATTATCCTTTTTTCCTCTGTAAATTTCCGCAATTTCTATAATTGTTTGCTGTCAATGTGGTTGCCTTGCAGGCATTGTTCCAGACACAACCCACATCACTACGCCCGCGTCATCATCCTCGTCAGATGCCGAACAAACTACCAGCGCACAGCCATCGACTGCTGTCGCTGCGAGTCTTGCCGCAGCCCGTGCTCTCGCATTATCCGCTTCACTAACTCAGGCAGGAGTGAATCGCAATCAGACCTTACCTTTAGGTCTTCCTTTGGGAGCAAGTGGCATCGGGTCCGGCGGTGTAGCCATTCCCAGCCCGAACCCGGACGTACCCTCGTATTACAACCCAGCGAATGTGAATACGCAGCGAATTGCCGATCAGATTAAGAAACGGAAAATGCTGTGGACGAGACCTGGCTCGGAAGAAGGAAAGAAAGAAGAGAACTCGGCCGGCGAGCAACATAGCGATCAAAGCCAAGCTCCTGGCTCATCCACAGTAAAGCATTGGGCAAAGGCTACATTTAAAGGTTAGTGCATCTCCGTAAATTGCAAAAATTTGCAACCCGCACAATGCACTGCAAGGGGGACTGCAGCTAGGTAATATAAGACCTTTTGAGAGTGTGTCGGTGGAACTCTGCAGACTGCTTTTTCCTATATCAGACTTCGCTTAAGCGTTTCGGGTTTTCTGTGACATGTTTTCTAGAAACATTCCATATATGTCGTGAAATGGCACGGTTCTTCGAAGATATTTTTACCCTGAAAAGCGTAGTTTTTTTTCTACCTAAACAAGTGGCGACCTTCTAAAAGAAAAGTTTCTCTATAATCTAGACATCTTTGACGCATTTCAAAGAGACTGGCAGGCACAAGTGTTGTGCAATCCAACGTTATTCCTTTTACATGATGATTTAAAGTTTTGTTTTTTTGTAATTTTGTTTTTCTCTCCACAAATTGATTTGTAATCTACCGTATCTAGTGGGAAATGACACATATGTTTCTGACTCGTTGAATCTGTTATTGGGCAGTTACTTTAACCATGTTGTTGTTATTGTTGTCTCGGCGACTGGGCAGATATGCGCCTGGAGCCCAACCTGTGGCCCGGCTAAGGACCCCCAAGCGGTGAGTAACCTTCAAGCATACCTCAGTCATCGTGGCCTTGTGGCCCCCTTCTTCCGTACCGAAGGGGGTTCTCACGCTCTCAAGATGGCGGCCGAAGAAGATAACATACAGCCTGCGCGGAGTGCATTTGCCTAGCTCGTCTGTCCCCACGCCCCCGTACATCACGATCATTTAAAGGGTTGTAGGTTTAGGGCAGATACTTAGGCACGACACGGCTCACGTCCTTCTCAGTAGACAATACTAATTCGGTAATACTAAGGGCGAAGATCTTCGAAAGCTCGCCACAAAATAACACCATCTCTCACATTTAGCAACGGCAGTATCACAAGGTGGGCTCGCGGGCTTGGACTATAACAAACAGCATCTGGTACAGCTAAACAACGCGACGAACTAGTTCGCTGCAGCAATAATTTTTTTTTTAGGGGAAACGGTCTAGAGTAAGGAATGGAAACTACGGATTTTGATCTTATGCCTATAATATTTGTGGCAAGATTTGAAGATGTGAAGCTCTACCTTTATAAATAAAAGGAGTACGGGATGGGCTTAGAATTTGCGTTAAACTTTAAGAAGTCTTTTCCAGTACTGGGATTTATATTTTGTCTCATCGAACCACAGTATCAACGCGTTTAAGGATGTCTGACAAACATTTTCGTAATAACTCCCCTTGCTTTCGTTCCCAACGAACTTATTTTCTTTACGATGCTCTGACTTATTTGGATTTACCCCGGACGGGGAAATGTGCTTCGGATTTTGATTGACTGTCCTGTGGTTTTTCCATTTCCGTTGACCAATCGTTAGTTAATCTCTCTATGCTGCGTGTTTTCAGGTGACGATGGCAAGATGACTGCTAAGTTCCGTAAGTTGATGGGGATTAAAGACGACGATCTGAAGGATACACCGCTGAAGGATTCATCAAAAGTTCTCGACGAGCAGGACCAGCTTTTCAAACACCTTGATCAACAGTATCAGGCAGCTAGAGCTACAACTCACACTCAGCGAGGCATGGGCCTGGGGTGGGGTCACTGAAGTGAAGAGTGGGCATCTACGTTTTCTCGTTTCCGAGTAATTTACGGAAATGGATAGAGGAAAAAGCTTGTGCTAATGATCGGCGGTATTTATCAACTCTGCGGCCATCTTCGATCTCAAGCATGAAACGAACCTCGAGGAGAATGCCCTTTATGGAAGGCAATGTCTTCGTTTGGAAGGCCTCCTGAAATTCTCTTGGAGACTTGGAGCTCGTTCTCCTTCAGTGCGGGTCTCCAGCAGATTTAATTGGCTTTAAAGGGGGCTTGTTTTATTTCTATTGTTTTAGACCTATATATTTGTTTAGAATCTTTTTAGTCATCTGAAATGTTTTTTTTCGCAGAACTAGGTCGTTCAAGGCCTTTTATTGTCAGATTACTTTAAATCGTCAAAAAGTAGGAACGGACTTAGGCCATTATTTTTTTGGTGAAGAAATAGCAGTAGAACCATTGGTTGAAAGATTTAAAGGTGCATGCTATTAATTGCACAATCGAGTGAATTGGCAAGTGCATTGTTCCTATTATATGTCAGTGTTACCTTATGATGGTGGCATCACACATTCGTGCCCATTTGCGAAGACTGTAACTCCCAGAATGACGCTACAATTTACTGAGCGTTTACGTTGACTATATGCAACCGAACAATTTAACGGTGATTGCTGCTTGCAATTCTACGAGAAAGATGGTATTCCTGGCCCAAAATATCCAAAGTTGAAGTTGATTTGGGTCTCCATTACTCGGCGACAGTTGGGACATCGGCAGTTTAGAATTGCACCGATCTTGTTGGTATTCATATGTCAAGCTGGGATTTTTTAGTTAACCAAAGTCATTGCTAACAAAGACTTTGTGTATATAATTATCTGTACTATTTACTGCTAACATGATTGCTTATTGTCTAATGTACATACATAATGTCTAGACTACAATATAAAATAAGCTAGAAACAAAAGAATGTCTTTCTTTTTTAGTTAGCTACCGTCGTGGGTTTGTGAAAACCAATCTATAAGAGTATCTGCTTGTATATCACTATATATATATATATATAAGCACGATTTTTGCCGCCGCATTTACTTCATTTTTTAACACTACGTCTCAAAAAGTCAAATTGACATATTTTCGTTTTACTTCTATGATAGTCTACATTGCGAATCACATAGCAGCGACGCTATTCAACGAAAGTAGTTCAAGAACTTCCATTTACATTATAAAATGCAAATATCCACATTCCTACGGGTTCCTATTTATATTCCCATTCATAAGTTATAATGTAGGATATAAACATTATTCACAATTCTGTTTATCGTAGAACCCTTAGTACGTTGTGCTCCGGGTAGCTCTTGTCTCACTACGATATTGTGGTTCACGCGTATGAAAAAAATCTGTCGATGTCGTTTTAAAGATCGTTGCGCGAATTACTAATATGTGTGACATGCACAAAAGAAGATGGTCGAGCGACATGATAAATCAGAAAGGTTTAGGTTCAATGTAAATCCGTGCTTATATTCTATAATCTACTCGTTCCCAAATAGTTCTAAAATTTCAGTTCAGTTAAAATATTTGTTCCATGTAGAATACTAAATTGTGTATATTCGCTTCTACAGTTTTTAGTTTTCCAGTGAGAAATTCTAGCTAGGAAACTGCAAAGCTTTCACTAAAAAGTAGTTTCACCGTTAATATTGTTTAAAATATATTCTGTTTGCCTACCACAAGCTCACAAATACAAAAACCATATGTGGCATGCACCACCTAAGTTCCTATATTTTAATGGTCTTCCCACAGAGTTAATGCTTTATTAAAACTAGCCACTAAAAGGTCATTTGTACGTTTGCAATGTGCATGAAGCGCAAACTTTCACAGCATTTAAAATGCTATATTATATATATAAACATACACAAACATATATATTCCCTCCTATATTCCACAGATATTTACGCATAATTCTTCCATGCTCTTATAATATATTGCACCATCGATGGCGCAAATTACAGAATTAAATCAGTAAAATATGAATCATATGAACATTATTTACGTAATTGGTATCGTTAAGCAGCGACCAGCTGACAACGTTGGATTTAATGTAAAATTTTAAAAACTGTTGTACCTAGAGCTTCACTAAGGTAAACTAACGCAAGCTCTAGATAAAATAATAGGCCACTACCAAAATTACTTGAACAGTCTGAATGCCTATAGTATTTTATGTAAACGTCACGAAACATTTTAATAAACGTATCAATGCCGGATCCCGAACAGTGCAACCTACGCAATTGCTGGGTATCGAACTCGCACGAGGATCGCGCGTTGGACGATTCATAAATTTACATTTCTGGACATCTTCTGACCGCAGTAAGTTTATTAGCGTCATCATCGCTTCATTTGTTCTCAAGACTCTTAAATTTCTGCTCCAATTGTTTGCAGTATGCATCAAGCTTGTAGGCGGCTTGTTCCAGCGAATCCACGCTCTCCTCGATATTATCGATCTGCGCAAGTACTGGTGCCAGCTCCTTGTACTGTTGCTCCAACGCTTCTAAGGCGCTGCCGATAGCCTGCGACCAGCAGCGATGAAAAAGTTAGACAAGGTGTGTCTTCTTTGACACCGGAAGAAGTTCTACTGTACCGCAGGTTTTCGTACTTACCTGGGTCGTCTGAGTTAGATCTCGGTATTTGTTTAGAGCAGCGCGGTTCATTTGCTGTAGTAACTGGTATTCATCGAGCGTTGCGTTGAGCTCGGTGCGAACGTAATCCGCTGTAGCGGTGAACATTTTATCCGCAGCTTCTTCCATCGTATGCTGGAACTGAAAGGTTCACTAAATCAACTAGTCACCAAAGCACAGAGTCGACATATAACGGGAAATGCTAGTGAAACTATAGGCACGAATACACTGTTCTATTGTCAGTACTGAAAACCTAATTAGAGTTCTTTGAGCGGGTAGTGATATAACTGGTAACAATAATCACCATCGTTTTAAACTATATTATCATTCTTTGGTAAAAATGTTGTAATATTTGTACGTTATGATCATATTTGGAGTCCAACTGATGATAAAGATTTATTGATTAAATATATCTAAGTATATATATATATATATATATATATATATATATATAACACCTATATTGATTCCCCTACTGCACTTTGAAAGGAACTACTTGATTGACTATTGAGAAAAATGTTCGACGAACGACTTTCCCTACATCTGTCTTGGCCTAGTTGAGGACGAATTTAAGAGTAAAATTCATGTAAATTTTATTTCACTATTTCCGTGTATTACGAGATGATGCAAAGATGATTACTAAGATCTGTCAAACACTCGAATGATCCAATAATGCTCATCCGAATTAGCGCCGATGACAGAACGAAGTTGTCTATAGCCTGTAAAAAGTTCACCACGGTTGAACACAACTGCGACAATAGTAACGTCAATAGCCTTTTTGTTTCGATATTGCAAAGCGCTCTGCCAGTTTTCTATTAACTACTTCACTCAAGTGAGCTGAATACCCAATTCGTTGAATGTGTCTGTTGGTGCCTTTAGAGAGGCAATAGCAGACAACAGGAAGGCGAGCTGTATGTGCTGTTACACAAGCAAATGAACAGTAATCCTCAGTATGTCCGATAACTATCCAACAACAAATGCACATACATTCATCTAGGTTCATTCGCTTCAGATAGAACCTTGTACCTGTGGGTTTTTTTGTATTCGTGTCGATTTTCGAATTACTTCTACGGAAGTTATTGTGAGGCGCCTTTCGAAACTACGCCCCGTTCGCTCGGCCCGATTTTCTCTCGCATCTCCGAGTCGGGCGATACGGCCACTCCAAAACGTGAGCATCCTTTTCTATCAAATTTTTGTGTTTTTTAGATTATTTTGTCGATGACGAACCCGTGAACGCCAATCATCTGCGTGAGTGCATCATCGTCGACCAGCCGTACGCGGAAATTTAAATTAGTTGTTGGGAAATCGTGAAAAAAAGCCTGTTCATAGGCCTAACCACGCCGCATGTGCGCGGTGTGTATTGAGCGGCTAGCTAAAGATTTACCTAAATTCTGTGTGACACGCCAAAATCGACTGACGGAAAATGCAACCACGGCTGGAGTGTATCGCTATGTGAATTCTCTGCAAGCGAATCACGCCGACGTGTCCAGCATCGTTGTCGAAGTGCAAGTACTCATTGCCGGTTCCGCTGCCGATCTTTTTTGGAAGGTGCTTTCTCTCGGGCCAAAGTTCTACGCCCGGCTGGTATAAGAGGCCCGGCAGTGCTGTATAGACACACGGGCTTATCACACATACAGGCATATATATATACACACACACATACATATATATATATGTGTACATACACAAGTGTTTTGCAAGATTTGTAAAACAGAGATACGATAGTCCTGCCGCCAAAACATCATCGACAATGCTTAGTTTTGAGTTGACTGGGTTGGTGAATATTCGTTGAATTTTTATTTCATTGCAGAACGTATATTCGACGTGCATTATTAGCATTAGCGATAATGGGTTGACTGCAAATATACCTCCTGGAAGTTGACTATGTTTTTTATGCCTAGCTAATAGACTCTGTGGGAGGGAGCGCTCCCGTGTAACTTATTCTTCTACCAGCGGCCAGCTTGCACATCAACCACATATAGCTTTACAATTAGCAGTAATTCTTCAAGTATATGTATGTAATATACACGTTTCGCTTTTGGGGCCACAGTTACATTTTGTATTATTGGACTGGGCGTTCGCAACAATAGGTCCTTGAATCGGAATGGCTGAAAGAGGCGCTTCCAATGCAATTTTCACGTGGTCCCTCTCCAGTTGTCCTTCTAGAAGAAGTCATATTTTTCTCGTGTACTCTCACAGCAGACAGCAATTAGCTCCCACTTTTACCTACTACAGTAGGATAAGCGTTGAGCAGGCGCATGTATGTTTACATAAAAGTAAACATACCAATAACTTTTTGTGGTAAGTTGTATTATAATAAGGAATTTGTGGTTGTGATGTTGTGTTTGATCTGCCTGTCTTTGAACAAAACATAATTTTGAGCAATACATAATTTTTCAAGAAATGGTGCTGTGTGCTATGCCTACGTTTAATGTTTCAGTCTAGTGTACAGTCAGAGACCTGTGCCGAGTGTCTATTAGACGAGGTGGTAAATATGCTTGGCAAGGCAAGATCTAATTGGATAGTGAATCGTAGGTTTTTTAGGTGAATCCTACGCAATCCTAGGTCCAAATAACCTCATTCGGTTATTTGGACCTAGGATTATTGTAGTCTACCTTCCTTACTGTTCTATTACGGAAATAGGCATCCCACGCCGGCTATCTTAAATATCAACTAATATAGTTGTTTAAAACTCTGTTTTGTTGTTTGCCTGGCCGACCCAAATCAACCCCTGAACTGGTCGAATTGGGCTTTTCACGGGTCACTAGAATTTTATCCTGAGAAAAGCTGTCCAGTTTCGTCAAATAGAGCCGTTTGGTGCAGTAATTATTTCCCGGCGAAAGTTTGAACAAAGAGCGTAACGTTGATTTGGTCAAGTCTTTTTTTTTGTGATTTTTGCATCTAAGCATCTTTTACAAGAATCTATTATACATGTCTATGAGAAAGTTCTAGAGCTAAAATGGGCGGTGTTCTGGCATGATCGTCATCGGCAAATTTTCTCTGTTAATAAAATGGTAGCTGAATAGTTATGTGGAGATCTATGTAAAAAAAAGTCGTCCTCGATACCAATCGAACGCTCTCATTGAATTAAATTAAAATACGTTACATATTTCCACACCTAAAATATAGATCTTGGTGTATGTGGTCAACAACCCATAAAGAAGTTCATCTAGCCCATGTGACAGTGGGGTGTAAATGCGTTTCAAGCCATTTTAGAATGCCTTTTTAAGTGATTTTCTCAGAAGTATTGATTGGAAGGTTGTAACGGCCGATATGGCTAACACTGTAATAAAATACTTTTTTCAAAGATTACCCTTTAAAGAATTTTTTAAGAAATATCAAAACTTCGATGGCATTCCATCTGCGCAAAGTTCCATTTCGGTGACGCCAATTTTGACAAGCTGTATAACAAATACAATCCTATTTCCCATAGCTTAGACGGATATTTTGGCGTGAAAAACTCAAAAACCGAATATTGTAGCTTTTTCACTTCAGCAACACTTGAAGTTCACGTAAGGGGTATTTGCTAGTATAAAGCGAAAGCTTTTGATAAGCTGAATCGGGATGGAATACATGTTCGTATACCTGACTTTCAATTATCGGGCCGAAAGTGCCACTTAAAGGGTGAGAACTTACCGCGGTTTTATGTAGGAGGAGGGGGATGTCTTGACGCTAATTGACAGACTTTCGACGAACTACAGACGCAAACACATATCTACATCTAAAATTTATACCTTTAGTGAAAATCGCGAAAACCATACTGATTGTATCGGTTTTCTTACGTAATAATGGGGTTGCCTTTTGAGTGCCTTTTTAAGCCAGTTTTTAACAAATGACAATTGGAAAATTAATATGAAATAAATAGTAGATTTTTGCCGAATTTTCATTATTTAGTTATTATTACTATATAATTATTATTATATATAACAATGTTTTCGTAAAAAGTGTCAAAATATGTAAATGTTAATATACTAAATGAAACGTACCGACGAAAATTATATATACATATACTCCATTGAACAGAGTGCGTAACTACTTATTAAGTGAAAAATAAACATTTTTCAAGCCCTCCAAAGAACAGAATAGATCAATAGATTAGCCGGCCCTACCTGTTGCCTCGAGTGAAAAGCACGTTGCAGCAACACAGCAAAAGGCAGCATTAAACGAACGAGACAAATCAGTAGCTGGCTAAACCCTTAATGAACATATTAGTACAAACTAATGAAATGATTTCAGAAGGATAACGGGTAGGAGGGACAAGGTAATTGCAATGAGATAAATGAATATCGGCACTCGACTATACCTCTATTAAACCTGGGTGAAGGAATCAGATTGGGTAAATTAATCAACAACAAGACAAGCGCAGGTCCAAGCCGACGAGTCTCTTCTGACAGTGTACATTGGGAATTGGGTTTACAGTTTAGCAGCGAAAGTTTCTTGTCAGAAATATCGCGTCGACAGGTATTCGTTGCGATCAATAGTTCTTATCTGAAAATATTGTTACAAATTTTCAAGCTTCGTATTTCAAAACTTCGTACATCATTGCACAGTTCATCATTCAAAGGATGAACCTCACGTCTGCACTGAGACATCACCAAAAACTCTCTTCCTAACACTTCACTTGGTCTGGTGTGGTGGAATGTCAATTGTATGGGGATAAAACTTGTTGCTTTATTGTGGGAATCTCACAAGGTGCTATCCGTGTAAACGGCTTAAGATCACGTACATGCTACACATAGTAAGACGTAGCTTACAATTCAGGCGCGTTTACAGGAAAGTTAATTTGTCTGATTTACTACCAGATAGATAATTGCCAAGAAGACGTAAAAGCACGCTAAATTACTGTGTATTCATCATAATAATGGCTAACGCTTGCCTATAATAATTTTACTGAGTTCCAGGACCATGAATCAGCATAAGTTAAATAAACTTGGGCCTGCGGTCCGGATCGGCGGAAAGGTGAGATAGATATATATATATATATATATATATATATATATATATATCTATATATATAATTTGTTGTTATTACTATTATTATGTAATTATTACTTCTATTTGTAGGGCGTACCCCGACGCAAGAAGAAGGTTGTTCACCGTACTGCCAATAATGAGGAGAAGAAGCTACTAAGTGCACTGAAAAAGCTTTCTGTGAACAACATTCCCGGAATCGAAGAGGTGAATGTCATCAAAGACGACGGTAGCGTCATCCACTTTAACAATCCAAAGGTTCAGGCGTCGTTAGCGCACAACACGTTTGCGATTATAGGACGAGGCGAGGAGCGCTGCATTACCGAAATGCTGCCGAACATCTTGCCACAGCTTGGTCCTGAGTCACTTGTGCACCTCAAGGACCTCGCAACCGCGCAGAGCGGTAGCGATAAGGACGTGAAAGACAAGCAGATCAAGGATGCTGAGGGTGATGATGACGTCCCCGATCTCGTCGATAACTTCGATGAGCCCTCGAAGGCCGAGGCCGTTACAGCCTAATGTGTGTATGAATGGTATACAATAAACAATTTGTTACCAAAAACCCCGAAGCGGCTTTTTTGTTTTGTATAAGTGGGAGAAAAAGAGTTTGATACCATCACTGAAACATACAGCGCTAATTATATTTCATTTTGGCCAGAGTGAGGTCAGCTTAAATTGTGAGCAGATTTCAAACATCACATGGGAAAGGAAAGCAACTGAACAGATAGCAGTGAATCGATCAGTTCATGCAATAATAGATGGATCGAAAATACATTAATGTTTGTATGGTTGGCATAGCTACGTTTGATTAAAACTTACCTACTAAGGCTATGAACAATCTACAGATTTTAGGGTACTTCCAGCCAAGGAGCGAGTAGATTTTTCCAGCGACAATTTCGAATCAACCGATTTTAGCCGTATCGTTGATGAGCACTTACCGTGCAGAAAAAACAAACCGCGCATTAATACTTATATGTAATAATAAGTGTTTTATTTACAAGAGCTGTCTAAATCCTAATCTCACCATGTACGTCATAAACAAAACAAGCTTACGACGTACAGACGTAGCCCAAGTACATTCACTGGAAGTATTGCTACCTGACGATCGGCACGGAAATGATCCTATTTAATCAATGGTGCCGTGATCCGGTCTTAAATACAGAAATGAATCACGGCTATCGCTGATGAACTTGTCTATTATGTCTGAGGATGTCGAAAGCCGATTTGCCTTGAATATGGCGCTTACAGTCCTGGCAAAAATGGCCTTGGTTTCTTTCATCTGTAACGTCTGCTTGGTCCAACCAATCTTTTTTACGAGCAGGATCCTGACTCCTGCTTGACTGAGAACAATCGTATTGTCTAAGGATGCACGTCTTTAGGTGAGTGGCACATGACGCGAATGAGAAATGGATCTGAAACAACACATTATTCTCGCGGTAAATTAAATTAATGAGAGTGTGTCATTTCGCAAAGAAAAATAGGCGGAACAACTATAAGAACTGATAGAAACCGAATCTTAACTAAAAATGGATACTTCTAGTCGTACTGTGCGTGTATTGCAGAAGATCTAAATAAATGAGTTTAATCAAATTTTAGCATTTGGCTAGGCACGAATGTACCTATAAAAACGCTATAGCAGGTACTCACTTCGTGGCACTCTGGACACTCAAAAGTTTCTTGTCTTGACTTTGTAGAATCTTTAGGAGAGTCGTCGTTGTTACTGTCCTCGGCAAAAGTTTTCGGCAGCGACTTGAGACTGAAACAGTGGAGTCCGTATCATCAAGTCTAAATGCATTAATATTTATTAAATGCAGTTTATTAATCTGCAAGAATAGTAGGGCACATTCATATATATATATATATATTTGTAATCTATAGGGGAGACAAGCATTCAGGCTGTACGTACCGAATGCGTCAAAAAAAATATCAGGATTAACATAAATATTAGTACAGATAAAAGGTGTTCTCAACTGAGGTAGTCGTATTTGGGTGTGGAAAATGACCTAAGAGAAATAAGTGAGTGAAAAGCTAAACCAAGAAGAAACATTGAAACGAAGGTACGATATAGCTAAAAATAGTATAACAATGTCATAAATATTTTACCCGTTCATAACAAAAAAATTGTATGCTAAGCAGGCTTATCGTACGACTGGCACAGATTTCCTTTAGAGTTTGCACGAGCAAGTGACAGGTGTAAAGCATCGACATAAGTGAAAAAATTGCGACAAAAAAGTCTAAGTTTCGCCGTACCTTCCAAGAAGCACGAAGCCACATATACGATGCGGCTCACCAGTGAAAATGACTTTTAAGTCAGCTGGAAGCAGCCGACGTTGCGTATAATAAATGTCGGTAAATTGCGTTAACAATGAACCAATCATTTTCAGTAATCGTCTAGAAAGGCGGCGCGTTTCCGGTGATAAACCTGTGCAAACCGAATTGAACAGCACCTTTGTGAACACAAAGAGGAGAGTGCACCAACTGGAAGAGGCAATTATGCACCATATATTAAGAAGGAGCATAAATTTGCCGCGTTCATGAGACCAGCTGCGCCACACTCTCCTAATAAAGTGCCAAATGGCAAGAAAAGTATAGCTAAATGGTATGGAACTAAGTGGACAGAATTTAATGTGATTTGAATTACACTTCATTACCGCAAATTCAGATGATCAACTGAAGACTACACATCTTCTTCATTTAGTCTGAGGTACTCCTAATTGAAAGATCAAAAGGTTTATATCCCAGTTAATTCTTGTTTCTTAGTAAAATTGCTAGGAATAGATAGTATTAGGATAACGAAACATGTACTGTCGTTATTACTCATTCCCTTGTGTCTTTGTTCGTTTTCATTACCATTTTCGTTGTCGTCCTGGATACTTTCATCAAGCATCTTCCTGAACACGATCTGGAAAAGGAGTCTTGCTTGCATCACACGAAGAAGTAGCGTGGAAGGCCTGCAATCTTCAGAAGACCTCACGATACGCAGTTCGACTATGGAGTCGAGCACGAAACGCTGCACACATGGAGACGTGTGAATTTCACCTGAAACACCGTGAAACATAGGAAGCAATTGCAGCTGGTCCTAGGCCACTATAGGATGGTTCTTTGTCAGAGTATGGAGCAGGTGATATTTTAAAAGTATTTACAATTTAATGGCACTTTTTAGTCTAATGGGTGCCTCCTAAGCATTTCAATGCATTTCTGGCAATAATCTAAATACCCGATGATGCAATAGTATTTTTTGATGATAAGAGAAATTCGTGCGGACAAGGTCTTTAAGGTAATTATAAATTATTAATAAAAAAAAGAATGGCACCAAGCATTTCAAATGCTTGATTGAATTTTAAAGTGACTCAGACTGTTGTATAGGAGCATTGTGCTTTATCTTGTCTGCGAGCTCCCGCAATCGTTTGAAAAGAGCCCTTTAATTTGTTGTCTCGATAGAAGCTTTCTAATCTCCGACTAAAGCCACGTATCAATAACACAACATGGAGGATCAGTTACCAAAGATCCTGGGCTGTTATTAAGGAGTTCACTAAATTTTTTCAATTATAACATCGGCGATGCGCTTATAACCGATAAAATCCATACTTCGCTTCTTTTACTTTTTTTCTTTTTTTTACTATTTTAGTTCTACATTGCACAATCCAGCTTTTACTTCGGATTGTTGTTGCAAAGAATTCCTCGAAAGCGACATCAAAGACATTTCTGTAGGCAGATATGCCCCATTACCGGAGAGCTTTGATTTGTAAGTCGCGCCATTTTTAGTCGAAGAAGCGCCGAAATAGCAGTTTAGTAGTTATAAACACAAGAAAATCGTCTGTTCTGTTCGTGAAGTGTATCTACTTTTTTGAGATAAAAATGCAATATTTAAAACCGTATTAGAAACGCCAAAAATATTCTTATCAGGAAGGGCATTTAGCATTATTAGTATTGTTTATTTTCATTTGCATCACTGAAACAAGGTCGCATGAAGGTTAGGATGTATAGCTCTTATAGGAAACGCCGCCCCGAACTCACGGTGCTCACACTTTAACATATCCTTTAATTTCTTAATTAACTTTTACAATTATTCTGGAAGATAGATATTCTGAAATTGTACTGAGGCCAAGCACTGCGACATAATATACTACGAATTAAAATGGTTTATTTTTTCTTTTACTCTTAGTGTTACTACAAGTCGCTTCGTAGATGTCATCATTAACCTACAGATCTGGGCCTGTTTTCAAAAGTTACGACCCTCAGTTTTTATGAAGAAAGTATAACGGTTCTCAGTTCCATGAGCTCGACCTCCGTAGCCTCAATGTAAACCTGCTACACGAGACTAACAACCTGTAAAATGGAGTTGTCCTGTTCCAAATAAATCACTTCCTTTTACACAACTGTATAAACAGACTGACAGTTACGCGTCCTTCCAAGTTATAGCCTAAAATAGCCAAACAGTGCATATATTTAGTCTATTTTGGCCTTATCGGGCCGCAACTGCGTGCAGTACCAAAGACAACGATTTCCGGGCTGTGTAACTAAATAAGTAACGTTGAAAAAAAACCAACCCAAACTTTAGTCTTAAATGCGCCGTTGTATTATGTTATAGCCACGAATATAACAAGAGAATAAGATTTCTCTTTTATACGTGGAAACCTCTCGGTCTATATATGAAGACACCCAAAGAGTTTGCTCTTACCGGCCAGCATCAGTATGTAGTGTATCGTGGACAGGCGAACGCAACCAACGAGATTCGGTTTTGTGGTCTCCAGAAGTGAGATGTAAGCCAACATTTGGTGGCGAGAAGATATCGAAAGTCCGCCTTCTGCCCCGACAATATCGGCGTCATCCAATCGAAGCGCTTCGGGGTTTAGCGCCAAGACTGAATTTGGATGAAGGGTCACGAAACCTGGCAGCAAAGGTGCGAAAAGATGAAGTAAGTATTGCTTACAGTTTGTCATTGTGACCTGAAAGTGAATAAATAAATCCCATTGCCAGGCAAGAAGGGGCAACTGTTAATAAATGAAGAGATTTTTTAAATATTGGCGAACTGTAAATTATTAGTGTTCGGTATTATGTCAGAAAAACTTTTTATTAGTAATGTTCAGTGAGGAAGGAAATACGATATCACCGCAAGGCTTTCGTTTGCTTAGCATTTGTTCTTAGTTGGGCCATACTAGACTTCACCATCATGTCGAGGCAGACCTATCCTATCGTAGGTATCTACCGGCTTTTCGAATAAGTACTTACCGTTCGTAAGATAAAATCGTAAAGCATCTAGTTGGAAAAACGGTCAATATTTTTTCGACGACCTAATATATTACATTATATAATGTAATAACTAATATTATTATCATATATTTTTTAATTTAATGATTTTAATAAAGGAAAAATTAAATTACATATATAATTTAACAAAACTGAAATATCATATATTTCAGTTTTCTATAAGTTACGTGGTAACTGTATTCCTGTAATTGTATCACTGTATTCCCTAAGGACAATCGCAACTACCTTTGATTAACTTTAGTATTACTATACTCTTGATCCGTAGAGTAATGAAAAGTGGTCCCCATCGTGCCGCAAATATTCTTGTTTCCTTCCGAAAGTATCAGAGGTAAAAGTATTTCATTTTTTCAAAAAGTATTCATTTCTCTGATGCCAACGTTTTACTTTTACCCACCTTTCGTTTCCGTATGAAACAACAGATCGGTATCCTTCTTATACGAGTTGTACGCATCGCTAAACGCTACCTGGGGATAAAGTCCTGCCGCGAGAAGCCAGAGAAGCACCTTTCGCTCAGATCCGCTGAGCTCCGAACCCTTTCGCAGAAGCCGGCTAAGGGTTTTTCCTTTAATAGAACACAAGCTCACTAATTTCTATATTCGTATAACAATGACTTTCGTGGGCTGGGCAGATAGATCTTACGATACGATAAAGTACTAGTCGAAGATGAAAAATCGGGAACACTTCCCGACATTTAGCCCTTGTCGGCTACATTGCCTGTCTACTAGATTATATCGATTGCTATAACACGATCTTGATCGCGATTTTTCCTAAAGGATTGAAAAGTTACATACTGTCTTGGGCAAGTCTGAAGTCAATGTTTTTGATGTCCATCTCATCGTCTTCTTCGTCGTGATCATCACCGTCCTCATTATCAGCTGTCAATGCCCACTTGCGTTTACGCCCCTGTTTCTCTTGACGCAAAACATCCCGCTTCAGATCTCGAAGTTGTCTAATTTCCCCATGGCGACGCATTCGCTCCGACGATGTCAATTCAGCTTCGGGGATGTCGTAAAGTTTTGCATCCTGCCGCACCATTTCGCCACGTTATTTAAAAATCGACAAACTTAATTACTTTAAATGAGGTTCGATGGAAAGAAAATATAATATGTTCGTGTTAATGCGACATTCTGAGGAGTCTTCTATAGCATTTCGATACATAAGAAACCCAGCGGTAGGGCAGCTATGAATTCTCACGCGCTCCATTAAGTGCCTGAAACTGTGCGAACTTATAAAGCATGGACGACATAGCTTAATCGCATCGCACCCGCTTTTCCTTAAGGTACAGAGACTAAAATTGTAGGCATATAGAATTTTTGTGGGTTCAGCACGGCTTTCAGTTTGCACCTTAAGAATTCTGAGGAACTGACTTCGTAGCTTAGTGAGCTCGTACAAACGCTGCTCGTCAATACCACAGCGGCGACACCAGGACCCCGAGGATTCGTTGCCATCCAATTTTATGCGCAGCCACTCGTGATAGATTCGCATAATCGTCAGTGGGTCCCCGACATCGTTTTCCAAGTTCCTTGAAGAATACCAAGCAATAATTAATCGTAATTTGTAATGTAAGGCGATTGGCTTAGTCAAGGATTATAAACGAGATTGCTGAACACACGGTTAGTTATGTTGCGTCAAGCTATTTCACTGTAAGATCATTGAAAACAAAAACATGAAGCTGCACAGCTTGTTGGGGGCATGACTGTGATATACTATGTAAAAATATACAGAGTTGCGTGAAATGTAGGAAGCTTCTCTTAATGAAAATACTAACTTTCTCCGTCGGCACATGTCGTAATCACGGAAACTGTGCGGCAACATCGGGTTTTGCACGCTCATAGCTGCTGCTAGCGTTAGAGCGGCTTCGAGAAGTTCACGGAACAAACATCCGAGAAGAAGGACCTATACAAGCAATCAGTAAACAGTAAAAAGCAAGAAAGTCAAGATTCTTAAGTGCGCTACGTTAACCCAAATGCATACATATTTCTGTCTTTAATTAAGAATCCGTCTAATGGTACTAATAACGTGTCTTGGAACTTGGAAACTTGGAAGCATTGCAGTAATTTATGTTCAAAATAGGGCGTATGCAGATACGATTCATTTGGTTCAGGTCTTTTACAGCAGCCACCACTCTGAAACACTAATTAGCTGCTGTAACATTCGAGAAAGTTGGCGGCCACCATTTAAAGAACGCCAGCACATTCTAGAATAATCAGTAAATATTCAAATTAATGAATGGAGGGCTTTGGAGAAAACATTTTCGATTCATATAAAGCTCCATGGCTGCTAAAAGAACGTCGGAAAGGTGTAATTGATGGACCGTAATTTTTAATTTCCTGATCGTTGTCACTAACCTTCCCCACGCTGAGATCAACAGGCAATTGGGTCAGAATTTCTCCCATGACTGTGAGAGATTCATCAGCTGTAAGAGCACCCTGCCGCGTCAATGTGCAGATCGAATGCTCCAGTAAATCCATTGGTGGACTTTCCAGGAATGGGAATTGCCTGTTACAATGTAAAATCAAAACGGGAGGAAAAACTAAGGAAATGCAACGCTTTTAATTTATGTCAACGGAAGAAAAACTTCGAAAAATGTTTGTTGAATTTTAGATTACACTGCTACGTTTTCATTGTATACATTGTAATGGTAAACAATAAATATATTACCTAACATCAGCGAGTCCTAGCTGAACCAATTGTAGCACAAGCGAGTGAAGAGGGACACGTTGGATTTCGGGCAAACTGAAATCTTCCATTTCTTCAAACTGCTGCTCGGAGTATAATCGGAAACACTTTCCAGGGCCGGTTCTTCCAGCTCGACCTTTCCGCTGCTGGGCTGAAGCCTTTGAGCACCAAAATTCCTGAAGGGAATACCCATATAAATTAATTTTCATAACAGATATCTAAGCCCATATTTTTGAAATGAGTGCCCGGTGCGTACCGCCACTACTACCAAGATAATAATTCTGTGTGAATTCTAAAGTTTGGGTAAACACAATCAGAAGCCTCGATTTGTATACTTATACGCCAGAGGATTTTTTAAACACACTTTTGTCATCCACTATATCGTATAGCATTTCAGAAGACGAAGAAACCATACCTTGTTTTTTTAATCAATCATTCTTACACTAACGATATCTAGAAAGATTTCAAATTTGGTGTTAAGCCGACCTTCAGCTTTTGCATGCGACAGGCAGCAAGATACGTCATCTCTTTGACCTTGCCGGAGTCGATCACAAAGCGAACGCCGTCTATCGTAACCGATGTTTCGGCGATGTTCGTTGCCAAAATACATTTTCGAACGCCTAAAATGATTCAGATTACATAAAAAGAATCTTTTGTTGATTTTTACCCTCTAACACAATGCACTGGGTACTTCCTCGTATTTTGCATCAGCTGATAATTATGCTTTCTGAATTCAGTTACAACTTACATTTTGTATATATTATTGGCAGGCCTTGAACTACGGATCCTTGCTAACACTCTCAGCTAGGGCTATAGCCGTTCAAGCCACAGTGCAGACATGACGAGGATTATACGAATATGAAACAGCAAAAGGCTCTTTTACAAACCTTCGGGCGCCGGTAGAAAAACTCGATCCTGCTGTTTTAGCGGCAGCGCCGAGTACAGGGGCAAAACGGTCCACCCTTTCCGACCGTCTAAAGCCTCTTGTAACGTTGATATCTCTTGTGCTCCACTGAGAAACACGAGAACGTCGCCCCGCTCATTTTTCGCTGTAGTCTGTTCAATCAGACTCAGGACCTACGACCGCATAATCTTTCCTCGGATTAGATCTTACTAGACACTCTTAAGTTAAGAGAAAAATAGTGGTGATAGGTAATAGTGATGAATTATACTTAAGTATAATTAATCACTATTTCGTTGTGGCTACACAGCCGGACAAAACTTAACGAAGCACGTGGCCTAATTCGTACCTCTAAACTAGAAAAAACAAATGTCCCATGTTTTATAGACTGAGGGGGAAAAGATATTTTTCCTACTCACTCGAACATATGGAGTAGGGTCGAAGTTAGCCCGTCGCTTATATCTTGCCTGTGGCTCACGATCGCGATCTGGAGGAAAATATTCTATCTCAACTGGATACAACCGACCCGGTACCTGAAAACAGTATATATTAGAAAACTGACTAATGGCCGTTCTCAAGTTGACTGTGACCTTCAGGCAAAATTTGCTCTTTGAAATACAAGACGAATACGTTTTTATCAATAATCAGAGAGCATTAGAATTTAATAACACAATATTGGGTCGTTCACTACATAAATTATTCCTGGGCACTACCAGGAATCGAAAGGAAAAATCTTTTATGGTTTTCTCGTCTAGGGTGATCACCAATATCCAGCCGTTTAAGCATTAATTCAGTATTCGCAAGTAATGAAGCAGTAGCTGCCACATGCCGCTTACGATCAAATGGTGACATTATAAAACCTTTTAAGGTCATCATGAGATATATACCTGAATAACTGGACAATTGTCAAAGTAATTAGAGAACAGTTGAAGATTAGCGGTCGCACTCATGAGGATGATACGGAGCTCAGGCCGCTTCGTTTTTAGACACTTTACAAGTCCTATTAGCAGGTCGCATGACAAGTGACGTTCGTGGACCTCGTCAAGAATGATTACTTGGTGGGCAGACAGCGGTAGGCGGTCCTCACTTTCAACCTTTATATGATAGACCACAACAGAATACCCATTTCACAAGAATCGCACAAGATTAGTTCACACAATGGAACATAATGAGATAAAAATATAATAGATTAATTGCAATATATTATTATGTCAAAGAGTTGAGAAAAACGGTTTTCTCTAAGTCTATTTGCTAATCAAATACAGCACTAGGTTCAACATATTCAAGTATATAGAGCACAAACATGTATTTCTTAGGCATTTATTATACCCTCGCTAATATGGAGATTACTACGAAATTGAATCTGTGTAATGTAACAATCAAATTTGTGGAAAACAGGTACTGAGTTTCGCAGCTTGCTTTCTGGGCTCCAAAAGCTAACTTACGAAGTTCGGCAAGGTTTAAATTTACTTACCTTACACGAAGCAGAGGTCTCGGAAGGATCCGCGACCGGCAGCTTAGTGTTCGAGAGACCTCCTGACTGAAAGCCTTCGATTGACTCAGCACTAGAAGAAGATTCATCTTTATCCTTCAACGGCGTTGAAAGGAGTCGCAGTAGAAGGCCCTCTGTCATGAATATCAGCTATGCCATGTGCAAACACCAGAGACGAGTCAGTTAAGTTAGAGAAGATATCAAATAAAAATAGTTTAACTTCATTATGAGTTGAAAACTAGCCCATATAATAAATGCAAATTTCTAGGAGTTAAATAAGTACAATCTTTACATTTCAGACGAACTAGTGATACCATATAGGGTACCGATGTCCATTAAATACGTATGCCAAAGCGACACTAAAAATTACTTAATACGGTATTCCTTTTGCTTCTGAGCATACCTTCGTGTTTTTACTAGTCTTTTTCTCGAAGCGTATGTGATAGCCGACGACCGAACCTAGCTCGCATCCAACTTCGTAGCTAACTCTGTAAAAATGTCATAATCAAACAAAGAAAAATGAAAGCAGCATATTGAAATTGACTAAAAGAGTTTTAAAGGCTATAGCTGGTAGACTTTCTATAACTTAGCAGTCTGTTTCATCTGTTCCGTCTATGAGCGCTGCAGATCTGACATCGACATGAACTTGTCTAGTCATCGGTCGTCCTTAATGTCCTCTACCAGCCTCATATTTCTACCAGATTGAAGATTAACTGATGGGTTTATCTGAATACTGGACAATTTTTAAATGAGCATAATTTTAATAGTGTTGTGGCATAACCCAACCTGGCCGCTAACGCGATTGCTGCAAGCCGCCGGGGCTGAGTGACCACCAAACCTTCGTAGCCTGCCTCCAGTAGGTATCGTGGTACTTGTGTTGACTTTCCACATCCCGTATCACCAGCAACAACAACTACCTGTGTATTTGGACATTAGCAGCGTACACTATATCTCAGACATTACCTAGACAAACAGCAAAAACGTATTAAAAGAATAAAGTAGCTCAGAAAGCATTCATTGTATAACCTGAAATCGACGCCATTTTGAACTACCTGATTGTCTTTCAGGATCCGAACTAGATTATCCCTTTCCTTGGCTATGGGAAGCCCCTCCTGGAACTCCTTTAGCTTATTAGCCCTTTTCTCCCGCTGTTTTTCTAGAAACTTCATATAGGTATTGAGAGCTCCCCTCATAAAGTCCACATCTTCTTCTTTAAGGTAATCCCGCTGATTCCTATCAATGACTATCCGCTGCAGGAGCTCCTGCGTGGGCCTATTCCAGCATGGGAAGGGCCCCGAGACCTCGGAAGAGTCTCCTAGAAACAATCGCAGTAGTATCCCTGATTGTATTACTAATGCACAAGTCACAATGGCGTCGTGTATTGAAACTAAATCGGATTGCGTTTAAGATTCGTCGACAGTTATCCATACGACTGCGTTTGTACGATGATTTGTTAGATACATGGAGCTTGTATATTCTAAAAACAAATGTAGAACAACGAGCGAAATGCACGACGCTGTTACTTCTGTATGAAATGACATCAATAGCCATCAAGTACTCAGTGGTGCGAAGTGACCTTATCAACGTCTACCGACCGTCTGTACAATTGTCAAGACTAGTCGACACAAACCTTGTCCTACGTCATCGCAAAAGGTTTTCTTCGACGCGTTGGCCATCTTATCCTCATAGCGGGGTAAGAACCTCCAGAAGTTATCATATTCGTCGCTAAATTTGTTGATTGGTGCTTCCGGTGTAAAGAAGATTCGTGAGAGTTCGGCTTTGAACCTGAGTAATGATTTTCGTCGATCACAGTCCGCCTGTAGGAGTCCCTGTCGATTGCTATGCCGACTATCAGCCATGACGCCTGAACCGTAAAAATATTTTTAGAAAAATATTGGAAATCTATATATTTGATCGGATGTAGAAGAAAATCTCTTTCGCCTATCGGAGATTTTAGTGAAACGATACTTTAAGCCGCAACCATAACATCTGCAGCCGACCCTTGCAGCATAATTACCCAATACACACACCACGTGAGTTGAAACTGTTTTCTGCTACACATTGAGTAGAACTAAACTATAATTTAATTTGGAGGTCTAAAGGATGCTTTTAAAGCTACCATATCATTTTTTCTGCTTGATACTCCGCACTAATAAGCACTTTAGATTTAGCCTGAGAATTTGATTTTTCAGTGGGAAATGCGTGTCGTTCAAAAAGTATATTCTCACTAAATAACGTTATAGGGCTCGTCCAGATTTAAGAGACGCTAAAATCGAAAACCCACTTTTACCCTAGACAAAATTACTTTTGCAATGAGTGGATATATTACATTTAATGGATATATTACATATAACTTACTAAGCTGCCACGGAACTAACGCAACACTTATATGTTGTTAAATGAAACAGGTGTAGTGCTCACTTCGAATGCCGTATTATTTTGTACAACAGCGTTGATCACTCTAAGCAATTAGTATGCACCACGATTTACACAGACACAATTCACATATTATCTCTCGCTTTTTAGCACATTGGACTTTTTAGCACACAGTTCGCTGTTTTATGTCTTACGACTTCTTCTGAGAAGTAGTATAAGATCGCAGTAGAGTCACCTGCACCTTGCTAGAAAAATCAGCTGGGCGCTAATGTTTTGTTTGTATTCGCCGTTTCAGGGAGAGGGCAAGCGTGGGAAAGAGCATTCGTCAATTACGCGCGTTCTCACGCCAGGCGATATAGTGCGAACGTAAACATCATTTAGAGATTAAAATTAGCTTGAATTATGAATTGAATAAGATTCTATAAATCGTGCGAGTAACTATTGGATATCTGGCGGGAAGTTGTTGGCTGAAAGTAGCAGGGCTAGCTAATTTGAGCATAACTACCAATATACCCCACTGGTCAAGCGGGAGTATGCGTCAAAGTCCACCAGTCTATTGTAGACTAAAGTAAATGCATTTCTTCGATGCGTTGACCATCTTGCCATCTGGTCCTCATCGCGGGATAAAAACCTACGGAAGCTATCATGCTTGGCCTTAAGCCTATTGATTAGTGCTTCCTTATACTACTCAGTCTAGAAGTTATCCTCGGTTTACCTAGAGATTTTTATTTGTAGTGATGTTTATTTAAATATTTATTTAAAAAGCGCTTTTCCAATGCAGGAGTTCTTTGAATAACCTTTTCCGCTACAAAAAGTTCCTCCGTAACTTTTGGAAAAAGTGACCAACGCACAAGAAAATGCATCATACTAGATAACACGAGCTCTTATCTTCTTCCAAAATTAAGCATGGGTGCTTCGCACAACTTATACGTCGTGCATTTAAACATATTGCGGTCTTTTTTTCACACACTACAGTTATATTTTGGCTAGACAAAAGTTGTCGAAAGACTTCTAAACACGTGGCTCATATATAGATAATATCATATCTGTCGCAGAAACGTATACACACTCTAAAGCAGAGAATCCGCTACTTTCACTTACGTCTAATTTCAGCGCCAATTTTAGCAGACGCTTTTGCGACCGTCCCAATAAAGTTTGAAATGAAGCACTCTTTCGTGCGATGCATACCGCCCTTGTCAATTTACATTACAAAGCATCTAAGAAAAATGCCATTAAGTAGCCAAATCCGTTTCGTTTTCTTATTGTATGTAGAAATTAAGTATTTTTATCAAAAGACTCGAGAATGGTTAGGTATGTCTAAAGCACATCTTTCGTTGCCATCCCGGTCATTCCATTGGTTAAATCTGGACAAGTCAATCAAACATCGTTTAATGGTGCTATCACTAGCAGTCTAGCATTTACAAGCAAACTAGTTCGATGGTAGCATTGGCCGTACTAGCTATATATAAAGGATGAATAAAAGAAGCGCTTGAATATAATGCTAGCATTCTTACGTATCAGTATGTACGATTAGTTTACGCCCTATTGGCAGCATCAAGTCCTACGTTGTGTAAAATGCTTATATATTACACAAAATAAGGTTGTCATGGGCCAGGCTTTGCCAGAACCCACTGGTCCTGAATATCGTGTTTTCTTTCAAGCAGCTGCCGGAATCTATGTTACACCACAGCTTGCCCCCAGGAGCGAAGACATTGTTCATAACAATCATAACACTGCAGCTGAACCGGATATTGTTCAGTAACAGCTAGACGTACAGAATTCGTCGCCATAAAACCCAGTTTCTGGCAGAATTAAAAGGCAACCATTGTTCTGTAGGTCATCTTGGTTATTCTAAAGCCGATGCTGATGTAAGCGGAACTTAATGCTCGTGAATACGTAGTTTACGTCATATATGAGAGAAATTATTTTAGTTATCGTTATTTCCAAACTATTTTTGCCTATTAGTTCTAAAAAGGTATGATCCAAAAAAAAGCGGGCAAATCCAGTACCACGTTCGCCGAAATCCTCGGGGCGGACCGATTGACCCCTCTAAATTACACAACTTTGGTGAACTAAAATTTTCAGGGCTGTGAATATCATTTAGCGTAAATCTGACTGTAGAATAAGCTGAGTTATGCAACAGTCTATGGCATCGTAATATCGACCATGAACATCGGCGATTCCTGTACACGTTTCGTCATGACTTAACAAAGTCACCCTAGGCTTACAATAATCCTCAATACCTTCCTCATAAAGGGGATCATCCATTACACACTGTATATACTGTAAATGATCTGTTGCACGTCTGATTTAGGACGTGATGTTGTTTAACGCACATACAGAACGTTCAACGTATCATACATCTCTACGTACATATACAGAAGCGTTGTATCTATTTTCGCGGCTATGAAAAAATGGGTGGAAAACTTCGTCTTCGTCCAAGCTGATTTGCCCAATGACAAGATGGAGAAAAGATATATCATTTCAGTGACTGAAACTACCTGGAGGACCCAATCTAACGGCAAATATTTAACTCACCTTTCGACTCTATATACATAACGTTGGTCGAAACAAACTGAATAGATCAGGAGGTCGGTTGGTGTTCGCAGTAAAGTGATCTCCCTTAAGTAGTCTGCTGCTCTTTATTCAGCATATTGATTAACTGTAGCAAATACAATCAGCTATTGACATGTTCTGAGATCGAGAATAAGCATTAAATTTCCTAAAGAAATGCATAGGTATTGCAAGGTTCCGATCTCTTTAGGCAAATCTCCAAAAGAAAGATTTCCGAGTAAGACACAACCTTCTACGCGTGCATCAAAAGCAAACGAGTCGGATTCAGTTGGCAGCTAACTAAGAAAAAATCACGTAGAAGAACTTAACATTAAATCATCATAGCTCGTAATATATTGATATTGACAGTAGCTCTTGTTCGATGTAATTGGCTTTACGGGTAATGGTAGGTACCTCTTGCAACCGTCAAATAAATGTAAGAGATGTACGCCTGGTACTACTGTTATGTATTGCTTCAGACCACTATCCCCCAGCACTTTTAAATTTTGAAAATAGGCGTCCTTACTAAACACCCTTAAATTAAAGAAGCCAGCAGGCCACCGTTGTACTATCAGGAAAATTTTCGAATCATCAAGTTATCGGGTGGCACTACCGACCTGTTTATACTTTTCAGTCTAAGCTTGCCTATATGAGCCTTGCTACGTCAACAGAGTTCATTTTTATCAGATTCAAACGACTAACTTCGTGGTAACGTTATATTCCAGCACCACGTAACAGTTAAGTTGTCACTTCAAATTTCGTTCGAAAACTGAGGTGCAAGGGGACCCGTGCAGATTTGTATAGAAAATATTATACATAACGGACATTCATGCTTTTGAAATGGTGAATATACTGGATGTATTTTGTTACATGGCATGGAAACTCACCATTTTTCACAGAACGTGCTGCAGTACGAACTATGAAAAGGCTCACCATGAGTTAGCTGAATCGATCATACTGTCCTGCACGGAAATGCGGTACGAAGGTTTGTTGCGTAGGCCGTATCGTTCTGCCGTTGTCAGCCGGTCAAGAGTCACCATCGACTGCAAAGAACCGCCAAACAAACCCGAACTGAATTGTATTATAATTTATTACATTAAGCGGGGTAACTTGAATCGAAATCACAGTTGTATTCTATATATTGCGACCCAAGAGAGCGCAGCGGCTTGATTAGCTGGCAAACTTGGCTCTTTGCAAACTTCACATAGGACAAGCGAACGCATTGGACATTGAAGACAATGCGCCATATTTGATGTGATTGGAAGGCATTTTACAATAAAGAGCTACACTGTTGTTAAAGTTAGAGCGTGTCGGGGGATAGAGTTTTGGTTGGCTTTTTTTTTATTTTGTTTTATCGGCGCCTTTTTCCTGCTTGAAAACAGTGAAGATTATTAATCCTGTCGAAGGGACATACTTGTAGGACTAATCGGATTTAATGAATAAGAAGGTCCAGGACGAACCGTCTCTTCGCTCACTATTTAAAGTTAATAACGGCACAAGATAACTCTCGCCACTCTATGGGTACATCGGCCTTAAAATCCATGGGATAATTTCAGTAACATACTGGCGTGAATGCCGCGGGCTTGCCTTAGTGTAGTGCCGCATCCGGTACCAATTGGGCCCTGCGTATCAACAGTATAAACGTCTACAAGTTTTAAGCTTCATGTTTAATAATATTACCGTTGAGCATTGTTTCGGGTGGTTGGAGGCCCCATTTAACACGGAACAAAACTTCTTCATTTAAACCCTTTCATGTAGGTCTAATTTCAGTAGGGGACAGGTTTCGTCTCTAAGAGACAGTACGGATGCTGTACATAGCAACGAGCCTTTTCCTTTGCCCGCTTGGCTACAGTGTGCTAATGAATCGTACCATGAGCATATGATACTTTGTCCGGGTTACTTCTTAGCTATATAGAATTTTACTCATCTTAAAAAGTACAGTGCCGTTGTATGAACTAATGCCTTCTTGTTTTCGGGTTAATTCAGTACATGTATGCTGACCGTCTTGCTGTTTTTGTATATTACAATTATAATGCACACACCCGTACCATTTACTGGTCAATCGAGAGTAATTTTCTCTTATGAAATTATTTCACGATAGATATTTCTATCAGCAGTCGGATACCCCACAGGGTCACACATGTAAATTCTGGATTCAGTTTGACTTAGAAATGATCGAGCGATATGCGTCGCAACCAATTATATTTATCGGAATCTTTGAGATCTGTTTTGATAAAGCTGCATGAAATATTTGTTTCATATTAATGTACTATATTAACATATATTACAGGATTGCTATAATTCCTATAAGCTTGTGGAGGAAAGTCTTATCTAGGCATATTTCGTAGTTTACACCTAAAATATTTGTCTGCCTCAATCATTGTAACTGGGCCAAAAATGAAAGGGATTAGAAAGATCTGCGGCAGTTTGATATTACTTCATACGATTATCGGTGTTGGCAATCTTATTAACTAGATGCAAGAACAATTGAAATTGTAGCAGGAAGAGATCCGTAAAGAAATCGGGACCTTGGTGCAAAAAACCTTTGACTTCGACCAGTGTGCTAACCGTGAAATCCGATCAAAAAAGAGAAAGAGGAAACAATTATATATAATACTTCTAATAAAAAAGACGAAACAGCCCTTCTTCCAGAGTTATCGTTATTAGCTACCATCCGGTCATCCCAGACCATGAATTTGAAAAACCGTCGCTATGCTTCTAGCATTTGCTACTTAATATTTTGAGTTCGACGTCCGATGCTATTGCCTTAGTTAAGCAATGATGTGGACGGCCGGCCTCTTGTTTTATGTGTTTACGGCCGGTCTCATACTTCGACCATCTCGCGAGCCTTTCACGTGCCTAAATTTTCAGTCTCTACGATGTTATGAGGGTAACGTTAAAGCTAGTTGTAGATACCTTTTCCGCTTCGTGGTTGGAAGCAGGCGTCTAAGACAAGGCGTTACTGAGGCAACAGCGATCAATATTAGCCTAATTCAACAAGACCCAGCTTCGATTTGCCGATACGAGCCAGATGTTTTCTTAATCATACAGCTATTAGAATCGACAATGCCTACAGATACATTTTGTCGGTGTCGATATTATGGCATTTATTCCGTGAGATATTCGAAGTAATTCCCATCATATTATTGGCAACAGGTCTCTGTTTCGAAAGGCGGCAACAATTCGTAAGCAGAGCTTAAATGCTTCTGCAAACTCGAAAAAACGCTACCTGAAAAATCGCAACATAATTTATGGATGATGCGACGTCGCTTACTACAATAAAGCGTTGAGGACGCAACAATCTTTGCCGAAAAACGCCGTAACACGAATCCGACGTATTTCACAGACCAACATAAAATAAAGGTCACTCGCAAATACGAACATTATTATTCGATTTCAATTTTAACGCGTAGATTTTTACTGCTTTTATAACCTTCACGACACCATTGAGGTGCCGGTCCCGAGTGAAATACGAATCGCGAATGATTGAAATCGTTGTATGAATAGATTTAATTGATAAAAGTTGGAATGAATCGTATTAGAGGTTGATTTTTATGTACTGCCTTACCACTCAAGAATGTCCAGCCGGTATAGAACGACACGATGTACATTATTACTGCTATCAAAGCTGCCGCATAATATTGAGATCACTGGTAAATCAACCCCGCCTTTCCTAGCAGCGCTATGGTCATAAACTATAAAGACATATTATGTCATTTGTCATTGCTGACGTGGCCGAACTAGATGATACGATTTAACTATAGAGTTCATTGAAAAATATCCTTCTATTATCATATCAAAGAAGCTTAATAAGGATTCATAATTCACAATTTCATGGTGTAAAATTTATTTTTTACTATAAATATGCATAGATATAGCGAAATTTAGGCTTCTCCGGACCACTAGATGATCGAAGTTGCGCAGGCCAGCGATCCAATTTTCGCAATAGTCGATGTTTATGTTAACGATTCATCCTAACTAACAATCAATATATAATTATACTCTGCAATGAGCGAAGTAGGTAGGCGTAGACTAGCTTTAAAGAACTTATTAATAAGCTCGCACCAGTCGCGTTTCATAGGATCTTTAAACCTATAGCATAATAGAGTACCTATAATGTTTTAAAACGTAAAAAGTATGCCAGCATCTATCAGTTAGAATCGTGATTTTCATATAGAACTGAGTACAATCAGTTTTTTACCCGGCTAACCCGTAATAAGTGCGCTAAAATTGCGGAATCATAAGAGCAGACTGCACAATTCTGACGTACATAATTCTCGAGTTTAAAAATGAATCCAGTTTCCATTTCTATGACCATTTTCTTAAGACTACACTTGACCTGACAAAAAAAATATACCATGCAGGCCCGCAAGTTTGAGATTAGAATATGATCCATGTTTTGTTTGTTTCTACCTCAAAAAAACGTGCTTTGTCTATTGTTGATTTGTAGCAGCATGCTATCCTACTGTCAAGTACATATATGTCTTGTACAAAAATCACAGGCTTCATTTTACCTTTGTACGTGTCGAGTCTTACAACCGGTATCGCCGTTAGACAATCGATGACATAGCTGACTCCCAGCATTAAACGAACTGTGTCTGTCTATGCGCGATGGTGTCGAACCTAGACCACAACGTGTGTCCCTAATATTAGCAGGCAAATACGTTAGCCATAAACCTATGACAGGGTTTCGTTGTATCTAAATAATCTATGTTTGCCCAAGTTTGTGGAAGACTGAAGGTGACGATGTTACGAAAATGATGGGAATGTCATAGAGTATGGTGATGTATACCCACGATAGGCAATTTTTGTTTTTAGTTTACCTGGTCTAATAATGGTGATTTAATAGTCTCCTTAGATAAATATGTCAATAAGCGATAAAGACAATTACTACCCTATCTAACATAGGAAAATGGCTAGATGCAACGATGAGAACAATAATAATAGAGTTCTAGTTTGGCACCTTTCGGATCGAGACGTCAATTCTAATATTTCGATGGGTCGCGAGTTCATCGAGCGGTGGCTCACTCAAACGATACCTAAAAACAGCATTCGGCTGCGAGTAACAGCGGATTAAACATATGCTTATTATCAACGCTAAGATAGCTAACCATAGAAAGCGTTCATTAAGTAGACGTTTAATTGCGCCACTGAAGTGCATGATTTCGTTTTTAATGCAAGTACCATTACGGCAGACCTTGCTCAAATGCACGGAGCATGGACTTCCTTCAGGCAAGCCATTACTACCATGGGCTGGCCCGCATATCCCGTCGTGGAGACAGCATCTCTTACACGCATCAACCCCTGGGCAAAAGCAGTCTTCCATGTGCTTGGCAGCACAGTAGTCCTGACATTTGCCTCTGACGCAAACGCCGCCCTTCCCGCATTTGGTGCCATCTTCGAGACTTAGCTTAACCGGCTCGCATCGTGCGTGTCGCCAACAACAGATTCTACAGGCGTTCAACCCGTTGCACCGACAGCTTTCTAAACCGATAGATTTACAATAGTCTTGACATACACCGGTTAAACATCTGCCTCGATTTCGACACTCGGAGCCGTCTTGAGCTGGCTTTGCTACGGGGCAATGTTCGCTTTGACCCGAACAGCTTGCGGCACGTAGGCACTCACTGTGATTTGGTGCTCGACAAAGCTTTCCTGCTCGAGCGAATTTGCACTCCTCGCAGCATCCGTAATTTTTCTGACTGCACTGTGCCTCGGACCTTAGACGGCAGTGCTCGGTACAACAGGGCCCACCTCTGACACCCTCATCGCAGAACTCATCCGAGTCGACCTTTCCATCGCCGCAGGATCCCAGCTTCTCGAAGCAGCTTTGTCTAAATTTAAGAAACGTCGACATTTGCTCTATACTCGCCTTGGAAAATGTCTGCACCCGTCTGAGGTTTGCGGTAGAATCAGACATTATGTATTTTTTTGCGTGGACGTCTCTGTCATGTTCGGCACCCCACAGATGGCCCAGTTCATGAGCCAAAGCCCGGATCAGTTCGATTCTCGATATAAGTTCTCCGTGGTAAACGGCTGTGACAACTACCGCATTCGGAGTTATCCTTGTTCCAGAAGGAGTTAGTCTTGGCCGAGCACAAACTCCTGCCTCGGTCTGTACACTTCCCACGAAGCTTAGTCCAAGCTCGCTACAAGGGCTGAAGTCTCTAGCGGTTAAGAGGACGGCTCCACACGCATCGGAGTTTTCCTCACTTTCGTTCGTGGAAAATGAGATCAACATTCTATCGATGGACATATTCAGTGACGCGCTGTTAAAGTGGCTTGGGTCATTATGCGGACGTTGGTACACCGTTGTGTTACCGATCTTAAATCCAATACGCCTAAACTTGCGAGCATCATCGTGAAACGCCGTGTTCATGAAAATAGGGTTTAAAGCCTTGAGAAGCCAACCGATTTCTATGTCTGTCCTCTCCAGGGAGCCTTGACCGATACGTCGAAAAAATGTATGGTCTGCAACCATCCGCAACCTGCAGTACACGTTGGATTTTAATCCTACGACGACCACCTCGTTTCGTGGTTCTGGTGCGAATACTACGGGCAGATGACGCTCGCATTGACCCAGTGGGTCCGTGTAAAATTTTTCCTCGTCGATTTCGTTAATCGTGACTTCCGGCCGTCGCGAATAATTCCCATAGCCAGCTACTCTGAACTGTTCGTTCGGAAAATGTCGTTCGAAAGATATCTCATAGTTGCGACCGTCCCTACTAACAATGCCGGAAAATTTCTTTTGATCGTCTAGGACTAGTACCCATGATCCGGGGTACTCTGCTAGCACGCCCTCAAAGATATTGTTGTCAATGTTAACTGCTGCTAAACCAGATTTCGGCGTCGTGATCGTAGCTGCCTGCTTCATTTGAACCGTTCCAAAGCCGTCGATCGAGAACTCGAGCGGATTACCGACACTTTCGTGGGATTCAAGTATTGCAATTGAGCACCATATTACGAGTAAACGTATAAGGACACCCTGAAATTTAAACTGCAAAGAAAATTATGGAAAATTGTCATTGAAAATGTGATGAAATTTTTTCCCGATTTAAACGTTCTGTTATTCAAGGGTTATTCTGTTGAGTTAACGTTTGATCATCTATATTGCGTCATGTACATTATTATTATAGTTGTTCTGGTATTCGAAAACGCTGCTTCAACCTGTTGAAATTATCGCTATTAAGGTCTGTTACGATAACGGTGATTATCGAAATGGTTATGTTTGATTCAGGTGACTATAGGATGACCTTTGTCAAAGTTTGGCTTCAAGAAGTGTTCTGTGTATGTGACTGAAGTCAGTACCTCAACACAATACAGTGCCTATACTAATTTTGGTTTTTTTTTGGAAACACTGTCCAAACTCTAAAGGCTTAGTAATAATCTAAAGTTTCAACGTTTCGTTAGAGATAATCACAACGGGTAGCGAACGCACAAATCTAAGACTGAGCCTGCTAACGTTCGATTTCTCTTAAAGCACCTTAACGCCTGCTATCAATTTGTTAAATCTAGAAATAAGGCCAATAGAATTTCTGCATTAAATTTCGCACATGGCCTGGAGAGACACACACGCACACATGATCATGATGACATTGATTTATCGATCGGACATATACATTATGAATGAATTGCATAGCGTAAATGAAGTTATGTTCCCTCTACAAACAGATACGAAAGGCATAGCACGAAAAAGTCTCATGCAGATCAAAATCAATATCTAATAAATATGTCCTGACCACTCACTTGGCAATGGGCGTTGGTTTGCGATTGATTTGAACAGGCCGCTGACATCTTGGTAGCGATGAACATGTCAGCACAATGAACACATTTGACGGTTTCGTATAAAAGAAAAAACGTTTCGGAAATAGATTTGCTGGCGTTAGCGTCGGACTATTGCTTCCTTTCTTGGTCTACAGTACATGCCACATTTCTACGCAAAATATGACAAAGACAGAACATCTAACCCCTATCATAAGAAGAACAAAATTGCACTTAGGGAATATATATACACAATGTGGATTTGATGGCGGTCACATGACCCGATTCGGTTATCTGATGGAGTTTTACGAACTTGTTAGAAGACTATATCCTAAAAATGCCACATGTAAGACGCGTATTTCAATCAACGGATCATATAACCACCATTATTAGCGGTTCATCGCAGTACGATGGATGCTCGCTAGTGCTGAAATACTCCTAGTTCGAGCGGCTGTTACAACTCGTTCGTTTGCCAATCGTCACATCCAATATCATCGCAGGCTGCGATTATGAATAAACCCGAATTTTTCGTATTTCGTCCTTGATCAGATAGAGGGAACAAAATGGCGTTTTTCACTACGAATGCTAATTAGAGACACACCACGCCTCAAACAGCCTGCTTCATAGGAAATACGAATTGTCTTACGTCAATTGTCGAGGTTAGCACCGACCAGCTGGGAAATATCTTACTACTATGTAACATACTTGGGGGAAGGTAACATGATGTAGAAGTTTGATGGCACCGGTAACCGTAGTCTTCCTACAAATTAGAGCGTTATTGTACGATGTTTTCTTTTAATTAATCAATGACGAGCTATAAGTATAGATATTATGGCTGTTTCCATACGACGGTACGGGGGAAGAAGTTGGGATCCCATACTGCGAACCACTATGATTTTAGTTGCAGAGTTGGTAAGGACGCCATCGTTATGTTTACCGGATGTATCAATATCTAAACATTCTTCGCTAGCCATAGCAAGCTCTGTTGATGTGCGCGACTGAAAAGTTCTCGTATAATGAAAGTAAGAGGTATCTAACGAAAAACGTACTTCTGTTGCTTGGTACCAGATAACAAACCCATAACACTTTCAAAACAGTTCAACTGGACCAGTTTCTCTACGCACCTCGTTTACACACACCGTTTATAAAGCAATCTTGTGTTGATTCAGAGAATGGTAGCCTGCTGAATTCTCAGAGGTCCCATGACTCACGCATAAATCACCTAACCTAATTTCGAGCGTGATCCTCGGATTAGTTATCTAGCTCAGGCTCATCTAGGATCCATGCTAAATTTCAAACGTTGTTTTGTTTTGACAAAAATCTTCACTTTGCTTGCATTTTTTATAAACGCTCCAGGAACGAAAACCTAATTATTTACGTATATTTTATTTAATTGACTGGTTGCTTTGCTCTATATATTTTGCAATGGATATTAGCTTTTCATAGCCCTCACTTGACTGCGTGGCAGCCGTGACCTACGAATCAACTATATTCTTATCATGGTGTGGTATGGTATGCCATAAACGAGGACTGGTTCCGTTTTTATTCGCTGTTTACTTACAATCGGACTGATATCATCAAAAAAGTAAGCGCCCGCCAAAGCCAGCACCACAGAAGAATGGTGCTTCTACTTCGAAAGTAACGCAGATGCTTAGGGTTATATCTGGATCACCTACGTTCTGCAAGTTCTAATGAGCAGAACTTGTTTACTAGGACCAAGATTTAGTCAACTAATTTCTGCCTCCCACTATGGTAAATAGTGCGAGTGCAATCGATCATGCAAAAACGTAAAAATAACCATTGTCTCCATAGCTGTCCTTATGGCTCGTTAGGATTCATCTAATATGTGTTAACTCAGCAAGACCCTGATGTAGCAGGATACTGCCTACGAGCTATCTCAAGATGCTACTTGTTTAAGCACCAATGAGACAGTTTGTCGCTGCATTACCTAAAGAGGAATATTTCGTCATTACTTTACAATACCTCAAGCTATTGAACTTAATTTACGGGTGCCTCTGCACAATCAGCTCGAAACTATATGCAATTTTCCGTCTTATTGTTTAATGCAGCATAACCCTACCCGTCGTGTTGTGCTTACCTATTGCTGTTTTCTACTGTGCTTAGCAATGCCTGTAGGCGGCCCAGGTAATGTTGCGTTGTCTGTAGATTCTAAATAATGCTTCTGTAGATCGAAATGAGACAATCTTTGAAAATGTTTACATAAACTGTGTTGTACTGTTTCCGATCGAGGTTTGGTTGTTTTTTTGTTTTTTTGGTTTTTAATGGAAAAACATATTGTTGACTTGCGCGAAATTCAGCTTAGATAAAACATGAGAACACGAAGGAAAAATGAAAAAATATTCAGCTATCCATAAGTTTGGCGGGAAATGAAGGAACAGATGTTGAAACATAACACAAAACGTATTATAATGAAAAATTACAAAAGATAATGACTGGGTTAGATAGGTAATATTCTTAACGTATATCCTGTATGTATGCTCTGTATGTAATTTTTTGCTTAAAACCATGTGTATATATACATGGCATGGCATCTACATTAGGCTGCTTATGGTAACGAGCATGCTCTAATCTGCTACTTTTGATACCAAAATAAATTCAACCCTTTTTAGAATAAAACAATAAACTTATTACGGTAAAAAACAATGTGTCATTAGCTAAATATTAACCAAATATTTTCGCGCCGGAAGACCTGGGACGAAATGAAAAATCCGCATGTCCGAAATCGGTTTTTAGAAAATTCGAACAAAATTTTTACGAGGCAAGCCGTATTTTTTTTCTTTTACTAAAAAAAAGGGAATACTATAAAAATGACTTAGGTCCCGTAGACTGTAGATGTAATTGCGGTGAATTGTGCTTACATTAGATATATAATATTATATATTTTAGGAAATACTGCTGTCAGGAATGACACTTCCAGTCTATATAAAAAATCACTAAAATATCTGTTTTTATTTATACACATTTTTTAAGAATAAAGCGTAAAGAGGAAATCTTTTTAGGTGCCACATTAGATAGATGCGTGTCGCGCCGTTCGGCTGGAAAAAATTAAGCAGAGTAAGTTGAATCATGAATGGAATAATTATAGAAAACGGTGTAAAAAAGAAGGTTGAATAGAGAAAGCAGGTTCAAAGAAAGTATCTAACCAGGGTAATGTAACTGAGTGAATAGTCACAGTAAAGGTAAAAGCCTACAAGGTTAAAAAAAAATTTGTGAAACGATGATGAATAAGTGACTCGTGAATCTACACAGATATTGTAATGCGAAAGACATTAAAAATAAAAAAAAGGAAAATTAATCATAGAATCCGTTACTCGTTGAATATTTCAGCAAACCTATCTAAAAATTGTTTGCTAGGTATCACTTTTACTACAACATATATACGTTAAATGAAGCAAGTACACAGTTGATGATGGGTATGTGTCAGCATGAGGTGTATGTGTATGTATACAGGACGTCGAGAGCCAACGTGCGCGCTCTATTACTGTGTAAATACAATTTGAAAAGTCTATAATCCAGGTTAAATTAAAAGGGGCTTTTATTATTTTACTCTGACTCTTTGTGATTCATACGTTGCTGCAGGATTAATCGACCTGCTCTCCGTTTCACACCAGTTTGCACCGCACATTTAACATATACATATATGACCAAACCTCTGGCTGGCCGATAGTCCCTGCTTTAAAGACACAAATATGCAAAAATGCAAATAAAAAGAGTTAGCACATCTTTCCTCCAGTCGGCGCACTTCTAAAACAGCCCTATTTGACCCCTCTAAAAAACGTTTGTATTTAGCTTTGATTGGACGAGAAAACAACAAAAAATTTCAAGCCTCGTTTACAGCGCACATTGAACCAACGAGCCGGTTACGTCATTGCATTTACTTCATCAGTACATTTAGCTAGTTAATATAAACTAGCCATACGTTCGTAGTTCACGTAAAAAGCTATTCCAGTAACTGCGTTACGCCGCTACAAGTATCTGTTTGTCTGATTTTAGTCAATCTGTCTCAATTCCTTACTTTAGCCTAGTTGACCTAGTATCTTCAATTCCAGCTTTGCTAGAGTAATCCAGCTGTGCTGATCTTGCTATTATGGTGGTTGTATCGATCGCGGTTGCTCTACTTCCGGAACAATTTGGCGGACTATTTTTTTTTACAGTTAACTTATTCCTTAGTTTAAATTATCACATTCATTTATTCGGTATCGTAATGCACGTCTCCTACTACCTGTAGAAAAATAGATATCCACAAACGTGGATAAAAGCAATAGAAAAAGAAGTAGAACAGCATCATTTGGACAAGAAGGTCCCTAAAAATTTTTCAAACGTAGAACGAACGCAATCGATACATTATAACAATATGATTTATATAATAATGTACGATCTGTAGAAAAGATGTCGGAGTATGGATTGAAAAGCTAGGTGTTAACAAAGAAAAAAAAAACAGTTAAATATCCGAAAGTGCATTCACTATGCGTCGACAGTGAATTTTCTCACAATATATAAGCCGAACAAGTGATTTAGAGGAGCGTTTACCTATTTGACAATTGCCTAATAATTGAAGAGTCAATTAGTAGGTAAAAGGCATCGTCTACACTGGTTTTCCTTTCGACAAGGTCCAATTGATTAGAGAGTGAATTAAAAAAAAGTGGGATAATTTAAGGTATGTTGAGCTGTACTACTTTTGCCGATAGAATTTCGCTTTTGTGCTTAGCAATCATTGTGGCCTACACATAGAACAGTACGAAAAACAGCAACCATAATACTATACTGTATATTTGACGGCAGAACTCAGTCATCAAGAGTCAACCGAAACATAGAGAAAAATCATCTTCGTCTACATCTTACCGATTTAACTGAACTTCAAGACCAGATATATATAGTCCTGCATCAAAAGCACTAACGGAAAACCATTCGAACCTCTTCCACAAGATGTTCGTTTAATTCTCACAGGAACAATGTCGCATATGGAGCTAATACAGTGTGTACTACGGCAGCAATGCTATCGGTTTGACTGA